CATGTAGTCGATGGTGGGGATCGTGACGGGCACGTACAGCGGGCACAGGTACATGACGATGATGAGCAGCGACCAGCACACCGACACGATGTTGATCGGGTACCCCCATCGGCCGAGGTCGAAGTGCGGGCGTGGAGGGAGGATTTTGCGCCCGCGCACGAGGACCTGTACAATTTCCAGGTCAGACAAGAGAGTTAGAGAGGTAGAAAAAGACGAAGATCGGTCGGTCTGGCTGGTGAGAGTATGGACTGGCGGTGAAGGGTGGACAGGTCTTGTAGAGACATAAAAACAGTGCGTTCAGTGCGGCAGACGAGAAGGACGACCATCAGAGACAAAAAAACCTGGGAGAGGGATCACACGCACCACAATAACAGGCGTCACATAGCCAATCTGCAAAGTGACACCTCCGCCAGAAATGATCGACTGAAAAGCCAGATCGCTACCCAGCACAATAAGACCTATATCCAACTCTCTCGTCAGCAATCAATCACTTCCTCCACCCAGACATCACACTCAGGACCACCGACGTGCCCGCAGGAATTGACACGGAGATGGTAAAAACAAGACCGACGTACCAATCACCAGATCCACGACCAAGATGGCAATCATGGCCCGCAGAGGAATGTGGAACCTCTCGCTCACATGGGCAAAGTAGTCGGAGTAAGGGAACGCCTTGTCGCGAGCCATGCTCCAGGCGAGGCGGGAGCCCGCGTTGTTGGTGCCGACGATGATGAAGAAGTTGAGGCCCATCATGACCAGCGCGCAGAAGACACCGCCGCCGTACACGCTGTTGCAGATGTCCATCCACCAGTTCATGTAGGGCTGGGATGCTAGATGGAGAACTAAGTGTTAGAGCAGGACGACGTGGGAGCGACGACAGTACGTAGGGAACAGGCATACCGAGCATGTACTCTTCCCAGTTGCCAGCCGTCCAAAGCATCAAGAGCGCGGCGAGCCAGCTGGTGATGCTGCAGAAAATCATTGACCAGACCATCACGCGCTGAGCCAGTGTTAGCATTGCGGTGACAGAGATATCCTTCAGGAAAGATAGAGCCCACCGGAGCATCCCTCGAAGCATTTCTCATCTCTTCAACCTGTGTATCGTCCATATCAGCATATCACTCCTCAACACCACCACAAAACGGGGCACATACAAGGTGCATCATCCCATCGGTGCCGTATAAGCCGTACATGGGTGAGTAGAAGGACATGATAAAGACCCAACCAGCACTGGTATAGCCCGAGTTGTTGATGAACTTTGTAAAGATGAACTTGGCGTCGTGCTTGGGGGCCATGACGCCAAAGACAATGGCCCACGCGACACCGCCAGCGATGGTCCAGATGGCGCCAACCATGTTCATTCCCGGAAGCCATCTGTGTGTAGTTGATATCAGCAAAAGGGACCATTCCGCCCAGGGGGGTCGACGTGGGGAAGAGCAGAGCAATGGAATATCAGCAAGAAAGATATACGTACGACTGCTTCAGGTTCATGACGATGGGACCGATGAGAAATCCCGTATAGATGATCCATGTCATCCAGGGCTACCCCGGTGTCTGTCAGTGTCCAGTCTCGCTCGGAAATCGTTGTATGGCATGCCACCAACCTTCCATGCAAAATCCGGATGTGTGACCTCGACAAACGACGCAATGATTTGAGCACTGTTGATCGCACAGCTCGATCCCGTGCTGATTTCGCCCACAATGACTGCCCAGCCCACGAGGTACGACAAGATGGGACGAAGCTTGCCGGTTGCCACGGCCTGGACGTAATATTGCTGACCCCCTGCCGTCGGCCAGATGGTGCAGTATTCAGCCAAGGACATCATAAGGAGAGTCTGGCCTACGGCGACGAAGAGCCTGAAGATCAATTGTCAAAAATACAATGTCGAACAGTCCCGGAGAAAGACTCGATGCTACTTACGTGCCCCAGATCAGAGCAAACGGGCCTCCAACGTCGAAGATGGTGGAGTAAAGGACCACCAGACACGACCAGCTGCACGATATCATGATCTGGTATGCGCATACTATGATCGGTTGTGAGCAAAGGACATAAGCACTGCCGTCGGAAGACACTCACGCGTCCAGAAATTGTAAACCCGTCGCAATTCGGGCTTCTTGCCCATGGACATGAGCAGGGCATCATCGCTGTTGATAGATTTGGCCTCCTCCAGCGTGGTTGTCGCGTCCAGATCCTCCGCCACATACTCGATCGTCTCGTCCTTCATGTTGAGCGGGTGAGTGAGGAGGTGAGAGGGGCGAAGACCAACCACTCTCTGGGCACAGGCAAAGACAGAGACGAGTGCTGCGAACGGAACTCACTGTGGCGAAGGAAAAGACCAGATAGAAACCATCTGAAATCCGAGAGGAGTTGATATCAAGTTAAACAAGCCTTCTCCTGCGGAGGAAGTGCAAGCCACCAAACACAGGGTGGTTTTCTCTCCCCCTCTTCGCTAGCTTAGTCGATGAACAATAGCAGTTACCCTTGCGACAGCCATGTGGCTTGAGGATTCGTTATCCCGATCCTGACATCCATTGGGCATGTAGCACGCTTATCATGCACACTATCGTAGACCGAGGGGAACATATCAGGCGCTGTGCATGCTGGATTGGCGAGAGAGCCCACGGCTGAGGGAGGAGGCGAAACACACGTCTCTCAGTGTGTGTATAGCTGATGATAGACACTCGGTAAAAGGAGTGTGTCCCACGCTATGACCTGCCTTCCTTATCGCAGGACTAGATCTGGCATGGACCTTCTTTTCTGGTGAAACTTTGATTGTGGTTCTCCATAATCTGTAAAGGATATGGGACGAGCCGCATTGGTCAGTCTGGGGTTCGATAGCCTGAGATTTGGTTCTGAGCCAAAAGAGGCCCAAATATTGCTGACAGTCTCTCTCGTCTTGAAGGACCCTCAAGTCCATTCTGCACGAGAGTCGAGTTGACCATTAAACATTGACTGACAACGCAGAGCCTGAAGATCCCCTCGTCGGTACGGTGACCCATCCTTCGTACGGAAGGAAACAGCGACCACTGTGCGGTCGTTGGCTGGCGTTTGCTGCGTGAGGTACCGGCGTGGTAGGTACATAAAGGACATAACCGAGTAAGACCAGGCTTGAATTGTGGGCAAGGGTCGGCCCCGGTTTATACGTCCCTTGCCCGATGAGGCTGGTCGATGGAGAAGTCCCTCCCCTACCGAAGTTTCCCTGAAGCTGTGTGTGATTTGATCGAATGGAAGGGTCGTCGAATTGGATAAGAACAACAGTAGATCTCCTCAGCCCAAGAGAACTCAAACCAATGTCCTCAAGATAGGCGTTAGTATCCCCCCAAAGGTCTCCATCTACCAGCCTGTTGAGGTATTACATTCCCTGACAACCTATCTTGTGTCTCTCTGCTTACCCAGCGGAAATTCCCCAGCCCGGGACTCGGGAGGCGGAAGGAGAGTTGGACTTCCGTTCTCAAGTCACCTGCTATTTTGGGGTATCTCTGTACGAATAGTCCCATCTTTGCAGAGACGACGTGGAGCGTGGAGTCTGGCCGGGAAGTCCACGGCCTCAGAGGCTAGCCTTGTCGCTGTTCCAACCTGGGCAGGAGACAGGAGAAGTCGAACCTTTTCCCAACGTCGTGACATGCGACTATACTCGGTATATGTATAAATATCCTAGAGGGCGCCGCAAGTTGAAGGCGAAGTAAACCCCTTGTCTTTGGTTGATGCTATCAATTCTGCGCCCTGTTGCTGGAAAGACGTTGCGAAGTCTGTCCACAGTCACTGCTGTATCAAAGCCCGGTTACTCCTGTCCATTCATCAGCTCTACCGCTCTTACAAGGGCTCTCCATACAGGGAGCATGGCGCCCATCGCTGTTGAGGATGTGGCTCAGACGCCTGTGGTGTCCAAGAAGCCCACCGAGGCATCGAATGCGCAGCCGGCTAAACCGACACTTGCACGCTGTGATGCCAATGATCCGGCCACGACGACAGATCTCCTCGTGTCAATCATTGAACGTGATGGCGGTGTCATTGTGGAGAACCTCATCTCAAAGGAACTGGCTACACGAATCAAGACCGAGCTGAAGCCCTACTTCGACACAGACAAGGTTGATCCTTCGGGTTTCTTCCCCCATACGACACAGAGAGCTACCGGCCTCCTGGCGCGGTCCGATGGCTGCGTTGAATTGGCAACGAATCCCACATATATCGACGTGGCCAACAGAATGATCTCGTCGACGTATACATACTGGAACGGACAGCAGAAAGAGACGGTATATGCCAAACCTATTATATCCTCAACTGTCGGGTTCCGAGTAAACCCTGGTGGAAGGCAGCAAGCCCTGCACCGCGATGACGGGTGAGCCGCGTCTGCTCTCGAATCTCTCAAGCCACAGCTGACTCTTGAGGCAGTGATTATCACACTCGCAACTGTGACATGCCCATGATGCTGGGTTGCGTGACGGCGTTGACAAAGACCACGGCCGAGAACGGGGCAACCATCGCCATCCCTGGTTCACATCTCTGGGGTCCTGATCGCTGTCCTTATGACCACGAGGCAATTCCCGCCGAATTGGAACCCGGGGATGCTTTCATCTTCGTCGGTAATCTTTACCATGCGGGAGGCGCCAATATCACCAAGTAAGTCCATAGTAGTTCTGCAGCTCGTCACAAGTTCCGTGGCTAACGGGCGGAATAGGGATCAGTCTCGCGAGACCGTGGGTATTTTCTTATGCAAGCCCTACTACCGCCCGGCGGAGAATCAGTTCCTGATGGTGCCTCCTGAGAAGGCGAAGCGGTTATCTCCCCAGGCACAAAGACTGTTGGGATATGGAATCAGCCGTCCTGCTCTAGGCTTCATGGAGTACCAAGACCCAATGCGGGTTCTCTTTGGTGTCGAGGACGAAGAGACGGTCGATATGTGATCGACAGACACTTGATTCTTGCAGGATTGCCAGACACTCCACTCAACAGCATGTTTGATGACCTTTCTCTCCTCATCAAAGTTCCGCGTCGAGGCTCATATGACCAGGAAATTCAAACCCTGGCTTGCTTCCTGTCGGGCGAATTGCATCCAGTCAACCACGACATGGGGATCGCTCTTCCAAAAGCGCCGGAGAAACTTGAGCGCTGGGTAGCAGTTGGAGAAGCCAGTCGACTGCATCACCTCAAGGAGCTTTGCATCGGCAAACGCTTGTGTGTTCTTGTTCAGCCTGCTTTGTGTTCCGACGACAAACAACGGCCATACCAGGTCGTGCTGGTACGCCTCCTTGTTCTGAATTTCGGCGATTTTCGTCATGACTCCACTGATGCAGGTTTCTATGACGGGAGCAAAGTCCTGGGGATCCAGGAGAGCCTGGAAGCTATATGCAAGCCCCGCGTAGTGAAAAATATCAACCAGTACTACAAAGTCGCTATACAACTCCGGTGTGCCAAATTCAAGACTCTTGCTGAACTCCAGAGTTCGATTTCGTGCGTAATCGAACCTGTCTTGCAGGATGCGCATATTTGCCAGGTCTGGCGGAACCTGGCTGGGCGACGCATTGTGATGACGCCGTCTTTCAGCGCACGTTACTTCTTGGACCAGCTGCAGCCAATCCGTAAAGACGTGCGCGTCCGCTTCGGTCAAAACCGTGCCGGGGATCTGGCCGTCAGCGTCGAACGTGGTGGATGAGCCAAAGACGTCGTAGACAAAGGCTTCTTTGACCAGGAAGCGACATGTCTCATCAAGATCCGTGGCTGTAAGGTTGGTGTCCGTCCAGCGCTGAGTGATTGTCCTGGCAGCTTTCCAATGGACACTCCATGTTTCCGAGTCGCTTCGGATCATCTCTAGGTTGCAGAGAACCAGGATGGTGGCCAATATGCCGCTGGCTCGAGCGTGACGATCCACACTCGCTTCTTCTGCAAGCTCTGTTCGCAGGTCTTCGGCAAGGAGCCGCAAGCTTTGGTCGCGGTATTTGCTCGACCCAAAGTCGTAGTCCCCGGGCCAAGGTGATTGTGATCTGGTACTATAATGCCTAGAGGACAGTGCTAGGAGGGCCAGAAGCAGCGAAGGCGAACGCATGGCAAGAGGAATCATCACCGTCCGCCACGGATTCTCCGGTCCATCGACCCAGGGCATGACCGTAGCCACCACATGGTCGTAGTAGAGGACCAGCTGTCTAACCGGCCTATTTTGGAGATACGGAGGCAGCGCATACGATGACGGATCGAGATTTAGCGCAAAGGGATTGTGGAGAGTGGTCTCGTCGAGGCTGGGTAGGAATGCATCGCGGAGAGTGGATGGCACAGTGATTGGCTCGTTCCCTGCGAGCAAGAAAGAGTCGAGGCCATCATCTCGTGAATCCAAGAACTCGCCGGGGGCCGCTCTTTTGGGACTATCCCTGGTGTAGGACGCAGGCGGTGGCGGCTGATGAGGAGGAGCTGGTTCCAGGACAGGCAGCGTTTTGCCCGTCAGTTTGCCTCGACTTGCCACTCCCTGCCCGAACTGAATCCTCAGGCCGTACCCAGGACAGGTCAGGTCCTTGAGGGCGCATTTCTTACACGTGGGCAATGATCGGTCGCATCGGATCCGTCGCCTATTACAGGTTCGACAATCTGTAAAGGGACATGGTCCATGAGTTAGTCTCTCGTATCGTATCGCACCACCAGACCAAGTACTTTGTACACATGGACTTGGAACCTCGGCATTCTAATACTGTTGTCGACTGACCTTTGAGGGCTCGGGGCTCGTTCGGATCGAGCGTCGATATTCGTAGACTCATCTTGAATGTGCCATCAAACAAAGGGCTGAGGAGAACGAGACCCGCCAGAACAAGAATACACACGTACACAGTAGACTGCGCGCGAGAGAACACTGAGCCTTTGGGATGGAACGAGGCAGTCAAAACCCCGCGAAGGACAAACGCGGGTTTTGCGATGCCCTTGGCGACTCTCGGAAACGACCGCAGTTTGGCTGAGCCAGTCGCGCGCGGCGCAGCTTGGGTTTTTCTCTTCTTCTTTTTCTTGCTTTCTTCTTTTTTGGATTGGAGGGCTGGTGCTGCATGTGGTCCATTTGGGATTTTTTCTTCTGTTCGACGTGGGCCTGAGGGCCTGAGGCACCTCTGCTGTTCAGGAGAAAGTGAGGCGTCAATAGCGACGTCAAGTCCGTGAGCGTGGATGGCTGGCAGGGCTGAAAGGGCTGAGGCGCAGTGACTTTCCCCTTGTTCCGTGGGTTGGAGGATTGATAAGGGGATACTTACTCCTGTTGAGGCAGCTGGATGGAGAAGCAGCTGGCAGCTCAATTGCCTGGACGGGCAAAGGCTTCACCTTCTACCATTGACCGTGGGCTATTCGTACATTTCCCACGTCGTTATAATGATGGCCATGTTATACTGTAGGTGGGCGAGTGCATCAGAGATAAAGCCGCCTCCCGCAATATGCCGGCGCCTATGGTCGATGACGGCGATGGTAGCCATGACCAAACAAGAGCTGCGGCGCATATCGTCCATCAACTCCATATCAAGGGATTGTCGCAAAAGACCATCTCGACTGATGTTGGCTCGTCACTGCCCAACGGGTTCTATCACTTGCCAGCCATCTACCAGCTCGAGAGGCGTGCCATCTTCTCCAAGCGATGGTTTCTAGTCTCGCACAAAGCCCGATACCGCCATGTCGGCGACTACGTGCAGTACGAAATGGCCGGCTTCAACTTTGTCGTTGTCAAGGACAAGCAAGGAGACATAGTGGGATTCCATAATATGTGCAGGTGGGTTTTGTTCTCGACAGTCTCTCTTCCTCTCCTCCCATCTTTTCCGGGACGATGAGAAAACTCAGGTTCCAGACACCGTGCCTTCCCCATCGTGCACGAAACCAGCGGCACGGCCAAAATCTTCGCCTGCAAATACCACGGATGGACGTACGCGCTGAACGGCAAATTGACCAAAGCCCCGCGTTTCACGCCCGAGTCGGTGCCTGACTTCGACGCTGCGGACATCCGCCTCTTTCCCATCCACACGCACGTCGACAGAAATGGCTTCGTCTACGTCAACCTGGATGCGCGACCGACGCCCGAGATCTCGTGGGCAGAGCAGTTTGGGGACCTGGACCGCCAGGGAGTCCTCGAGAACTCGGGCGTGGACTGGGACGCAGTCGAGTACGATTTCACCTGGGCCAAAGAAGGGAAATTCAACTGGAAGATCATGCAGGACAATTACAACGAGGTACGAGGTACTTGTTGCCATTCATCACCTAGCCTCCCTGAAATCAAATGTGATGCCCCGCCAGTTTGGTTCCTTAAAAGGCTGATCCACGACGAAATTCGAAGTGCTACCATTGCCTTACGGCACATCCAGACGTTGCTCGAACCACCGCCCTAGACACGTACTACGTCTCCCCGGCCACGCCGCACCACTACATCTCGCACTTCAGCGAGCCCAAGGCGTCCATCCTCGCCACCTCGGCCTTTGACACGACGCGGTTTGCGGGCAGGTCGGCCACTCACGTGTGGCCGGGTGGCCATTTCAGCCCCAACCCAGGCACGGGGTTCATGCACCTGATGCGCAGCCTCCCGACCTCGCCAACCACGACGCGGCAGGAATACGACGTGTACAAGCTGAAGATGCCACATGCGACGCCCGAGGCGCACGAGCGGATGATCAACTTCTACAAGAAGGTTGTCGACGAGGACTTTGGCCTCTGCGAAAAGGTGCAGAGGAACCTCGAACGCGGTATCTTCCAGACGGGTCCCTTACACCCTTTCCACGAAGAAGGCGTGCTGGCTTTTCAGAGCATGGTCCTCAACGTCCTCAAGGAGCAGATCAAATTGGAGGAGGCGGCCGGTGGGGAGATCTGGGCCGCCAGGCCACCAGCCCAGGGTCTGGGGACGAAGGCGGTCTATGCTGATCGTGGTTCAGCAGACACGGACAGCCGTGGCGGTGAACCAGATGCCCAGAACATCTGCGCGAGAATGCTGGATTGCGATCAGACGAGGCTGAGAGGCCTGGAATGGTAGCCCCTCTTAGGCCCCGGAGTAGAGGGATTGGGGAGGACTGGGCTTATTCAATCAGATATGATTACAACATGACATGCTAGCTCATTATCCCACACTGCCGAATGATCAAGTGTGTTACTGATGCACGTCAATCTCACTACTGCCTACCCAAAAATGCTCCCGCCCCGACACAGCTCAGCTCTCTGCTCAAACAGCCCTTCCACAAACCGATCCATCACACGTCCATCTCCATAGGCGAACCTCTTGAGGATCCTCTGCGCTTCCTTCCACGTCCTTAAGCCCAAGACTCGAGACATCTCGCAGAATCGAGTAGAGTGCCATTTCCTGTCGATGAGTAGCTCTGGCCTCTTGCCCGCCTCATCCGAGACCTGTTCTGCGCAGGCGCCTACAAAGAAGAGGAAGAGTAGGGATTCGTGGTGAGAAATGGCGAGAGGAGCCGACGAAAAAGACGACATAGAGGATGAGTTTGCTCTTGTCGCTGGTAGTGTCCCTCGCTTTGCCATGTAGCTCAGTAATATCTCAAGCTGCGGCCGCAGATGTTGCACGGGAATGTAGAGCAACCATTTCCGCAGCGGAAGCGTGAAGCCATAGACAAAGGACATGGCATAGGACACGGCCAGACAAATGCATGCCTGCAACTGTCGACGTACGGCGCGGGAGATACGCGTGCGTGGCGTGATGGTCTCGACTATGTCGCAGTATAGGCTCATCGTCCATGAGCTCAACGCGGCACGGCGACGGTAAATCCAGCTGAGCATGGTGTTGATTGCCTGCTCACCCTTTCCTTCAAAGAGGCTCCTGCTGATCAGACCCTGTGCAGCCATGAATTCTCGGTGCATATGAACATAGCTTTCCAGGTTGGCAGATATTTCGTCGTTGGGCAGCAGGAATGTTTCATCCCAACGCTGGAATTCGGCCTCGGACAGCAAGGAGCCGTATTCCGCAAATCCAGATTGTGCTCGAAAGGATCCAGGATCGAAGCGTGTGCGATCGAGGTGTGGCCTCGTGAGCGTGAACCTGGAATGACCGTTGTCCGCCAAAATGACCTGGGCCTGAGTATCAGGACTGAGCTTGTCGACTCCACCCAGGCTGTCGACAATCTCCCACATAGCCGACGCGTGGGCGGCGTTTGCTTCCAGGTTGCCGGAGTAGAATGCTGTGTTCGCGACACACCAAATACACATGATCAGGCTCTCCGAGGGTTGTGTATCTTGGCGTATGTGTTCTCGAAGCAACATCAGGCTCCTGTTCTGATGCTTCAGAGCCATCGGAAAGAGAAATTGGTAACATTCTGGTTGCATAAAATGGGCCTTGAGCGTCAGCACGCTGGCGTACCAGCCGTGCAGACATTTCTTATCGGTGACGAGCTTGTTTGCCCTCTTCCGCCAACCAAGCTGCATGGAATGGCGCGAGGAATTGCCAGGCGGACCCATGCCGCTGAAGGAGAGGAAGAAGTTACGATAGATTTCTAGTGCCTCCTTCTGGAAATGAGGGCATGCTGCCCAGTCAGGGGCATCCCAGTCGGCTTGCCGTGGCAGCGTTGGTGTCTCCTCTCGGGCCAATCTCTCGGGCCAGAGTTCTGGTCTGAAGTACTCGTCATCGCTGTCACTCTCTAAGCACATGTGGTCGGTAGGTTCAGGGGAGCTGCGACGATTAGCGGCGTCATGTCTGGAGGTGCTGGTGGCTGATCCGAGTTGCCAACATATCATTTGTATCGAAGGCTCCTCGCTGTAAGAGCCGACGTGGCGGTCATTGTCCGCGTCTCGTAGACTCGCATCTGGAAAAACGGCATTGCTGAGACTGCCGTCATGTAGATTGCTTTTAACCCAGCGATAGTATTTGTTTGTGACATGAGAACTGATTGAAAAGGCTTCTTCTGCATTCCTTTTGTTCAGGTTAGAGGCGTCTTTATTGACGAAGTGAAATGTACCTCGATAGGCTGCAACAGGCATTTTCGAAGGCGAGGCTATACAGTGACTTTGTTCGTTGTGGTGGCGTGTCTTCAGCAACACGAGCCATTGTATCATCCCATCGCCATTATATGTCTCCCAGACTACTCCGGCCTACCGCGTCTGCTTGCCGAGGGTGATGCTGGAACGTGAACCTTGAGAGATGCGACCAATCTCTTTCCAGAGATTCTACCCTTCACCGCTCGAGAACGAGGTATAGACATTGGACAAGATGCCTCGACTGACAGGCTTGGCGAGTATAGGCGGCTATGTCGCTGAGCAGTGCGTTCAGCCCTAATACCACTGGTGCCACTAGGTAGTCCAGCTGACTAAAAACTTTGTCCATTTCCCCATATTTTGGGACTTGAATGCAATGAGAAAGCGTACCATCTCCTGAATAGTGACTAGATGTAACAGCCAAGACACGGGACGTATCTGTTTGGTGGGGGCTGCCAGAGCGTTCCATGGCGTTGGGTATAGCAAATAGCGCCTACCGATCTTGAGATAGGCTCGGTGACGACTGGCAGCTGAGGTGTTAAGGCGACGCTTCCAGCCCTAAGACACCTATAGCTGGCCTCTGGGGTTGCAGTCTCGCTCTTCTTGGCTACTTAAATGCGTTAAGCAAAGAAGGCTGTGTTCAAACAACAACTTAGGTGAGTCCGATGCACTCGTTCTGACAAACTCGAAATGATAAGCAACATGCTCCGGCGCCCGAGGTTGCTAGACCAATGACCCCTCCTGCCCAAAGATTCGGCGAATTCCATGTAGACCAGTCGGTAAGATGCATTTATGACCTTCCCAGACGGTAAAGAGAGTTCTGGTCGTGCCTCAAATGGCGAATTTTTAGATTGCTGAGTAATGCCTCGGCGTGCCTGCAGCTGGGTGGCAGCCAAATGTCATGTCAGCGTCTTGGCTTCACGAAAGAACCTCGCCAATATGAGGAGCTCGGTGTTTAAGCCAGTCTCTCGCTCGGTCCAGGTCTCCCTTCGCCTCTTCCAATGCTTTGACGCACCATGCCAACTCATAGTTGCCTTCGCTAGCCAACATTGCTGCGAGGTTCCGCCGTGACTGGCTAGCTTCATCGACGCAGAAGACCATGGACGACGTAACGCCACGAGAGATATCGTCGATGATAGGTTTCACCATAGTTAAACCGTCCTTGGCAGATACAACTCTGTCCTCGCCTTTGAGATGCTTGTGACCTGTCTTGCAGTCTGGATTGCCACACCAAGGCTTGCCGCAGCCTCCCATTAGCTGCTGCAACAGTCGTCGTTCAATTCTTCGCCTCAGCATCTTCCCTTCGGGATCGTAGTTCGTAACGTATAACGGGCCAAAACACTCGTTACACAGGCCAAGCTGCTCTTTTTGCACCCTTGACTCATCCTCGGGTTTAATGGTCCGACCACATATCTGGTTAGAGCAAAGTCTCGGCTTCGGTCTGGAGAACCTTTCCCGATCATGGAGTAGTAGGTGCGTCTTCATGTCTCGTAACCGAACGATCTTATTGCAGAGATGACATTCGGTTGTGCGTGCACCGTCGGCGAGCTCGTGAGGAGTAAGCCCCGACATCAGCACCTCGGGGTCTGTGAACGAGGCGTCCTCAGGGCCTTGTTGAGGGACGACTAGATGGCAAAATTGGCAGAGAATCTCCTTTCCCGGACAGGTCGTCGTCCGATGATGAGCTAAGATCGGAAGATCAAAAGCTTGAAATTCGCAATTTGGACATTGTAACGGGGTCTGTGGGTGAGAGATAGATTCGTGTTTCTGACGGGAGACCAAATCGTTGCCATGTTCCTCGTCATGAGGACAGTGCCAGTGATTTTTCCACGCATCCGAGTTCTTCAGAAACACGCCTGAACATTTCGGACAAAGAACGTTATTTCTGTAGCAGAATGCTTCGTGCAGCGGAAGTGTCCGTTTGGGAACCACTTGGTGACAGTTTTTGCATAGTACCTCATCTGGAGAGAGCTCTGGAGGAGAAGTCTCCAAGGTTTCGAATTGTCCAGTGCCTGCCTTGATTTTGAGACTGTATGAGACTGGGGGTTCCGAGTCCTCAGGGTCGTCGTTCTGGTCCCTCCAAGCGTGAACAGCAATGCTCAAGTACTCTGCATCTTCGAGGTCAACACTCGTGTGGGAGAGTTTTAGCCGCTTTGTCGGTCGTGTGCCCAAATCGCCAAAGACGTATTCGTCCTCTCGAGGCTTTGACCGTTGATGTGAGGAAAAGGGACTCACGAGAAGATTGAGAGTGGCATTGTCATCCGCAGCCTGCAATGTCACCTCCAGATCTTGTTTTCGATCCCAGTCTTTCAGTTCATAGTCGACGTAGTGTCCTGGCAGCACTTTCCCCGCCACCTCGGAATCCAGACTCAGCAGTCCTCCGATGGAATTGCCTTCTTGTGATTCGTGCACTGGCTTTTTCTTTGCGAGCCTTTTATTCAATGTCTCGCGTGCCTGCTCTTCGTTCAGAGGCTCAATATCCACCTCAAGATCTGTGTCAACAATGCACACTCCGTCCTCGTCTGGTTCGAATTTATCCACCAAGAAACGGAATTTCTCATGACGTGCGCCGGGGACCACAAGCAGTTCGCCACGAGTCAAGGTAGTGAAGTTGTCCCGTAGGTAACGTTCGAGCAGCGATTTCCAATCTTCAGGGTCATATCCTGCTTCTAGCGGTCTCAGCTTCACATAAGTGCCTTTTTCCAATTGCTTCGCCTGTATGGTGACGGTCGGTCCTCTAGGAGTATTTATGCCATTGGTCATGATCACATCCTCGCTCGGAGTACTTTCGCGGGTGGTGGAGGCAGACGACGCTGCGCTTTGTATACCCAGAGCTTCTTGCAGACCGCTGCTCAGTCCAACGGTCCCTTCAGCAGCGGAGAATTCCCGGATACCAGCAAACACCGCTCTACCATTGCGAGGATTGACAATGCGGAATGTGAGAGGGTGGGGGAGTTGCTGCTGTTGGTTTCCGAAGGCTGCACGAGCACGGCGCTCAGCGGCGAAAGAATAGGGATTAAAGGGGTCAAAGGAGGAGGTCAGGTTCCTGTTGGCAGGATCCGGGATCGATACGACAGGTGCAGCAGCCAGCAAGGCTTCGAGGGCAGATTGTGGCAAGGTGATCTTGTCGCCCGCCAGACGGCGATTTGGAGGGGCAACAACGAGTTGAGCCGACCATCTCAGGGACTCTGTTTGTGAAGACATAGTTTCGAACTGTTGACATGTAAAAATGACTTCGTAGAAGGAAGTCGGGCGTGGGAAGAAGCCATGATGAAGTTGGGCTCAAAGAACGCAAGGCACAAAGTGACGCGCGGTGACTCGACTTCGAGAAGCGTCGATGGATGTTTACAAATTGACCGGCTGGATGGCAATTAAATTGTATCGCTTCCAACTGATGCTAACGCCACTTGCTATGCTGTCACCATTTGACTCTAGATTGTATGACTAGCTAAATATCCTGCGTCTCTATTGAATTATTCGGTCACTCCAGGAAAATTGCCTGCGGTCTTCTCAGGCGCCGCATGTGATATCTGACTTTGCGTTTGCCTATCTATCATAACGATCTGCTCAGATTGCTTAATCCTTGTCCATGCCACCTCAGCCCTTTGCTTGGAGCTCTTGCATCAGCCCTGTTGACTGAAGCATACAGGATCCGCTTATTCGACGGTTTCCTTTCTACCTGCTCATCAACCCAGACTCACGCATTGACGTGGAACATCAACCACTGATTATGTAACATTTTGCTGGTGTCTGACTGGACAATATTGAAACTGCGGCGGCTTCCAGCGGAGGTCGACGACAGACTGCGTCTTCACTCTCGCCGTCTTCTCTCTTCATTGGATCACTCAGCTGCTGGACAAGTAGTCAGCATCCGCTGCCCTCCTCTTTTCCTTAATGATTTCCGCAAACGGGAATGCAGTTCTTTTTTCTTCGCTACACTCGAAGCCCATATAACCATCCCCTGATGGACCATATGTGCTTGGTACAGCTTTCTACTGACCTCCGTACATTCCAGCCTTGTCGCTGCCGCCCTCCTAGGTCTTCTCGCCATATACCACATGGTACTTCTGAATAGGCTAGCCTTCACGTCCAAGTCACCACCCACTTTGCGTACTCAGGCCACCAGGGCTTGAAGACCTTGTTCCCTCAAAATGACCGAAGCAGTCCCAAGAAAAGGCTCGCTCGGCTTCTTCAACCCTTTCAAGTCAAGATCTAGCAGTCGATCGAGCTCAAGGGATGCTTCAATCTCCGACCTGAGGTTCAACGATGTCAAGTTTGACCACAAGTCGGCAAGCTCAACCACCCGTCTTAGAAAGACCGCAAGTCCTGCCGATTCGGCCAGAAGTTCCAGGGCGGGGTCCAAGAAGAACAGTCTCGATCAGTCTCGATCACGGCGACAAGCTTCTTTCCCGGCCATCAGTGTTGCCGATGAGTGGGAAAGAGATGCTCAGACAGGCGAGCGGAAAGACCATACGGAAATGCTGCATAGCTTAGCACATCGTGACTCAGAAGAATCTCTTGCTGAAAAGGTACAACTCCTGTTTGCTGGAATCCCACCCCAACCCGCAACGGATTTCCTGGCCAAACTCCCAGACGTCATCTGGAAGAGAGTCGTAGAGCTCGTGGATCCAGCGGATAGAGCAAGCCTTGCCCTTTCCTGTAAGCCATTCCGAGACCTGATTGGCACCGAAGCATGGACAAGCCTAAATACGCCAGAAAACCGTGACGCCAAAGCCAAGTTTCTTGAATGTCTGGATCAACAACTACCGGAACACTTACTGTGCTTCCAATGTGTGATATACCACGTCCGAACTCAGAAAGGACAAGAGGTTCTGCGGCCCACCAACATCTCAAATCCGATATTCAACTGTCCCAACGCCTACAATGCCGAGAACAAGGTGTCGCGGCAAAGAATCACCGTTGGCCGCTCATTGCCCTTCCCATTCGTCCAACTCCTTCTGCGAGCACAAAAATACTCAAAGGAGCACGGTATTCACATCGACTCAATGTCGCGACGATACAAGGATCGGGATGGAGAGTGGTCACACCAGACTCGTTACACCATAGTCAACGGCCACCTGCTTGTCAGGGTGATCAGCTCGGCATTTGCCACGCCTGCTCTCCCTCCAGCAGGGCTGCGGAGGCTTCTTTACTCCCACGGCGACAATTTTCATCCATACTTTTCGGTATGCGCGCATTGGAGGGATGGCAATCTCATGTCTGCTGTCAAATGTGCTTTGAGCCACATACCCAAACCCCCAGATGGAGGTGGCATAGCAGGTGCTGCAGCAAAGGTGCAATATCATATGCACCGACCCAGCCCGCTCATCACCCTGTGTTCTGAGTGTCGTCCCATGCGACGGTGTCCCGAATGCCCCACAGAATATCTCATCGAATTGAGGATGCAAGAGGACAAAAGCGATCCGATGAAACTATTCAAACATGCCATTGTCGTAACTAGATGGAGCGATCTTGGGGATGGATCTTCTCCCAAAAGCCTGGAATGGGCAGCTTGCAACGGGGAAGTAGAATTCGACTCATTTGCGGCACTCGGAAAACGTGCGATCTCGGGAGTCTTTGAATCACAGTTCACAGTGGATCAGATACCCGGTCAGAAGATCGTTTCGATGAATCCAAACAAGGAAAAGCGCGGAGAGGCTGGGCATAATTGGTACTAAGCAACGACAGTGACATTGGCCCAGAGCAGAGATTGTCGTTATCGACAAGTCGGCCTTGGCCTCGAATGCTTGGGCGTTGCAAGCACCATGTTCCGCTGTCGCTATGGGCGTTGTGGAGCCCTATTCGTTCGTCCGGAGAACTTGTAGTTCTGGATACGCGAACTCGATATCTCTTTGTTATCCTCACCCAACGACTCAGAAACACACATGACAGTGCCTTGTCTTTGAGCTCGGGAGGTACGGATGCTCCGGGACGTTGATCAGCCAGGGTTTGACCATGCGCTCGGAACTAATAAGCGAAGAACGGGGCCCTTTCGCTGCGAGCCAAGACCTCCGTTCAAGGAAATGCTTCCACCTCGTCTCCATCCAGGTCCACAGCCTCTCGACAGCCGGAATGAGTACCCAGGCACGCGACACTTTGCAAACAACGTTAGGAGAGCCTATCCTTTGCCTCCACCATCGTCCCGCCTCTGCTATGCTAGAGCGAGCGCTAAATGCTTGGATGTCCTTGGAAGACGTCTTTTCACTATCTTTGCCCTGTCACATTATGCATCGCCTCCATCGTTCAGCGACAGCAGGGTCCACCGTCGCCACAGCGCAGTTGAGCTCAACTATAGAACATGACGTATCTTGTCAACTCTCGGCAATTCATAAAGCTGGGCTATTGTTGAATGATGGAATTCATAACGAATACCATCCGGTGGAGATTGATCCCGGATTTGCATCTTTTCATCTGGCGCGCGGGCGGGACACCACGACATACCTGTTTTGTATATATGTGGAGTGCAAGGTACAGTGCATAGTCGATTGACCTCTATAGTTGGAATTTCTCTCCAGGTGCGAGACAAGTTTCCATGAACGCATCCAAAACGGGTTCCCCGGCGTTTCCCTCCTGCCTCCATTTCTGCAGAGTACTGTTGTGGTTTGCTCGTTGACAGTGTTGCCTTTCGCAAAGCAGACAGGATGTGGGAGTTTCTATACCTCCATCAGCACATCTTATTAGTCCTACTCTGCACTTTTCTGGACAAGGCGCAATCACGGTCATCTGACCACCGGATTTACCAATCTCTGTTATATGACTGGGGCTTTTTGGGGCGATACCCGCAGCAATCATACAAATCGTGTCCACAAACAGCTCCTCGGTTGAATTTTGTGCAATGGGACGAACGCTGCGGCCATTCCGGGTCGACATTCATGTCGCCCCGTGGGCACATGGTATCCTCACCGGGGCCCTTGATCATGGACTCGCACGGGGACTTGGTTTGGGTGGAGGACAAGTACGGACAAGCCATGGATTTTAAAGTCCAACAGTATCGCGGACAAAACTACTTGACGTTCTGGACAGGGTCGGACACAGGGACTTTCGGGACAGGCTTTTACTTGATGCTGGATTCGTCGTATCAGGTATATAAGAGGGTGAAACCCACCGCCGGCCTGGGTGGCGACTTGCATGAGTTTAAAATCACGCGCAATGGCACAGCATTGATGACGGTCTATGAGCCGACCTCCGCCAATCTTTCAACGTTTGGCATTGCTGGGCAGGGCTGGATCTTCGACAGCATTTTCCAGGAGATAGACATTGAGACAGGCGAGGTGGTTTTTGAGTGGCGGGCATCACAGCACTACGACATCCAAGACACATTCCACACCATCGAGGCCGAAGCACGGCGTCCAGACTCCTCGGGCCACGAAATCGCACATATCGGTGAAAGCCCTCATACGGCGTGGGACTTCTTCCACATCAATAGTGTCGACAAGGATGAGGAGTCGGGGAATTACTATGTCTCCTCACGCTATATGCACACTGTCACATGCATCAACCCCCATGGTGACATACTCTGGATCCTGGGCGGGAAGAAGAACCAATTTACAGACCTTTCGATGGGAAGGGCGACAAACTTTTCGTTCCAGCATCATGCGAGGATGCATGAGAACAACATTCTTACGTTATTCGACAATGGGAAATATGACAGTCGGTCTAAGAATGCGGAGTACAGTCGGGGATTGGTGATCTCGCTGGATCTCGAGAAGATGACAGCCAGCATTGTGCGAGAATACGTGCATCCCGATCACCGGCTTGTGGGAAGCCAAGGGTCGGTTCAACTCCTGTCTGGCTCGGACCAAGCGCTTGTTGGCTGGGGCTATGTACCCGCCTTTACGGAATTTGACGCGCAGGGCAAGGTCTTGTGCGATGTTCACATTGCGCCGTCGATTTTCTGGGGGTTTGGATGGGTGAAGTCGTACCGCACCTTTCGAAGTTCGTCTTGGGTTGGGATGCCCTCAACGCCGCCGAGTGTGTACCTCCGACCGCGAGACAAGAGGGTGTATGTGAGTTGGAATGGTGCGACGGAGGTGGATATCTGGGTCCTCCAGGGCCGTGTCGAGGTCGAGACAGAGATACAAGCGGGCGTGAACGCGACTGGGGACGACACGTTCCAGGACTTGACGTATGCCAGGAAGGAGAAGTTTGAGACGTCGTTTTCCGTCAAGACCAATATGCCACGGTATCTCCGCGTGGCGGCAGTGGATCGACAAGGCCACGTTTTGGGCTACACTGAGGTGGTTGACCGAAGGGTGGGAAATGCACCCTCGGACGTTGCTTATCACTTTGTCATCTCGACTTGTGCCATTGTTGTTGTATTGTGTCTAGGCTGGTATCTGTGGAGGCGGAGGTCTAGCCCAGGGCGTGGCGGACAGAAAAAACGGTGGAACCCGCTCGGGCGATTCTGGCATAGGACATCCAGCCTCGTCACAAGCGTCGATCCTGAAAAGGAGGCTGCACCTTTGCGGACGGGCTGGGACGAGGACGGGGATGTTGATGTGGATGAAGCCAAGCACGGCGACGACGTCGAAGTGGAATATGGCGCAGAGGGTATGATTCAGAGAGACACACGCACACTTCAATCCAGAAGATTTTGAGGACCATGTGGAAGTGGAGGAGGGTTCCTTTATGCGCGATCGGAGCCATGGACTGACTGCCTTTAAGCCTGTATCTTGTATATCTGGAGTCTAGAGGTATAGAGATAATGGACCCGTCAAGGCTATGCTTAGGGAGATACTCGAACCGTGGCTGATCTGACGAGGAATGTGAATCTGTGGGTACTTGCTTGAACCCCCTCTATACTTGTATCATGTCTCGCAAACACGCATACAACGAACGGCGCACATGCGCACAGGTGTGTAGACCTTGCTCGGTGCATAGCCACAATCTCACAGACGACACCCACACATCTTTTTCTCTCGTTGGGCCATGGTTGGAGATGACATGGAACAGGGGTTTAGGTATTCTACACCGGACCAGGATTAGATCAAGCACCCAGTTTGCCAGTTTGCCAGTCAAGCGAGGATCGTGGCCCTCCCCCCCCAAAGACAAGTTGGGTGGTTTTTGGTGGAAAAGAAGATATGACATCATTGCGAGTCTGCGTGTCCATGTCCATGTCCATGTTCATGAAATACTTCAACCCATCCGCCCATCGAGCCAACTCACTTGGTGTGTCTACGCAACACAGCTAGTGGCCGACAAACCTGACTTATCTACCCGGTTTATATACCTTCGTACATACCGGACGTCAACTCTGCCTCTAGGACGGCCGGCTACGCTAAGAAGATAATAAGAAAGGAAAGAATGCCCATCAACACCTCCTCGTCCGACGAAGGCGCCACGGGCGCCGCAAAGTTTGTCACTTCTACCGTTGGGGTACGTTTTCCACTCACTCTAGTCTACTCGTATTCTGTTCCTCTTGTCCTTCCCCCTTTCTGAGACCCTCTCTTGTCCGTTTTCTTCTACACTCCCTCCCCCACCCCCCACCTTTCCATCCTGACTACCCGACTGACTAGATAACGTAGAACACCATCGGCGGCCTCACCCGCACGGTCGGGGGCATCACCGGCGCCGCGGGCCGCGGGATCGGCGACACCATCACGGGCGCGACGGGCAGCGCGGGGAAACCCCTCGGGGACGGACTCGCCAACGCGTTGACGGGCGTCGAGAACGGCGCGCGCAAGGTGGCCCGCGGCGTCGAGGATGCCGGGCAGTGGAAGGGTGGGGCGAAGAGGTTCTAAACCACCCCTTCGAACATATGTCCACGGGAGATGAAGGAGAAGGGACCACGGACCAGGGATAAGGGACAAGGCGGGGTGGGTGACCTCTCGGGAGGACGGAGGATGAAACTATAGTATGTAGGTTCCAAGGCATGGGGGGAAGTCAGGTCAGTCAGGGAAAAGACTCGGAAGTCGAAAGTCGACAAGTTACACGCCTGACAACAACAGCACAAAGATGCCAGCACAAGAACCACAAAGCAAGGAGGTGAGCAGGAAGACTGAAACAGATAAGGTGCAAAGGAATTGTCAAACGCCATGATATCGCCGGCTGTACTGATCCTTGCAGTGTCTCACGAGACAACCTCATCAGTCGACAGTGCAGTTGTTTTCAAGTTGACAACAAATACTGTTGTCGACTTCATTTCCCATCATGCATTACATCAACCCTTGATATATATGTCGAGACCTGTCAGCGCATTTAGGCACCTCAGCCATAGAGCAGAACTGTGAATAGAAACACCAGTCCCTGCGCAAAACCATGCTATTGCCGTCGACACCCAAGACTTTCCGCAAATCAACACAAACCACCAAGAAAGATGTCGTGAGTACTATTCGGCGCAGGTTGAACCGTTGCTTCCGCCGAATCCTTGTAACATACCTATGATAATCAAGAAAATGCCTTCATGTTTGAGCCACGATAGACCAGAATGTTGAACTCCGATCAAAGCTTTTCCATATTGCCGATTGTGTTTTCCAACCACATAACTCCGTAAATTGAAAGGATTCGCAGCTTCAACTATGTAGGCACCGGTGCTTCGAGTCCCGTGAGACCTTCCTGCTCAAACCCTTCAACAGGAGTACAAGTGCAGAAGAGGTTGGTATCTCCATAGGCGTCGTCAACTCGGGCGACCGTGGGCCAGAATTTCTTCTCCCGCAGCCACGGCAGAGGATATGCCGCTTGCTCACGGCTGTACGGCCGATCCCAGTCATTTCGCATCAGATCTTGTTGTGGATGCGGCGACATCTTGAGGACGTTACCCTCTCGAGGCATTTCTCCGTCTTCGATAGCTTTGATCTCCTGTCTGATTTCGATCAACGCATCGCAGAATCGGTCAAGCTCCTCCTTCGACTCCGACTCCGTAGGTTCAATCATGAGAGTGTTTGCCACTGGCCAGCTCATGGTAGGGGCGTGGAAACCGTAGTCTTGTAGCCGCTTGGCGATGTCGATGGCCTCAATGCCCGACGTCTGCTTGAATCCTCTTGCGTCCAGAATGAATTCGTGCGCACACCGTCCGTTGGCATTGGTGTAGACAATGGGATAGTGTGGCCTGAGGCGTGACATGATGTAGTTTGCATTCAGTAGTGCAATTTCCGTCCCATGCTTCAGTCCTTCACTACCCATAAGTTGGATGTAGGCATAACTGATAGGTAGAATGAGAGCACTGCCCCAGGGCGCAGAGCTTACTGGAGAGATGGCTGTCCTGGCTCGATCTGGACCAGGGTGGGGATCCACGAGAGGATGAGTAGGTAAGAATGGTTGAAGGTGATCCTTGACCGCGATCGGTCCCACGCCAGGTCCACCACCTCCGTGGGGAATACAGAAAGTCTTGTGCAGGTTCAGATGGCACACATCAGCCCCAATTTCGCCGGGGTTGCATAGGCCGATTTGAGCATTGAGGTTGGCACCGTCCATGTAAACTTGACCGCCGTGTTCGTGCACAATCTGACAAACTTCCTTGATTGCTGGTTCGAAAACACCAAAAGTACTCGGGTATGTAACCATAATTGCAGCCAGGTCATCTTTGTGCTTTTCGCATTTCTCCTTGAGATCCTTGATATCCAGATTGCCGGTCTTCGTGTCGCATTTCAATGGGACAACTTTCATTCCAGCCATAGCCGCAGATGCAGGGTTCGTTCCGTGAGCGGAGACGGGGATCAAGCATACCTTCCGCTGACTCTGGCCTCTGGTGGCGTGATACTTCTCGATGACCCGGAGACCAGTAAACTCACCCTGTGCGCCCGAATTTGGCTGTAGACTGACGGCATCCATACCGGTGATTGTCGCCAGGTTGTTGGAGAGCCTCTCAATGAGAGCCTTATAGCCATCTGCACCGGTAGCGAAGGGGTGAAGTGCGGACCATCCGACATTAGACACAGGTAGCATCTCTGTAGTGCCGTTGAGTTTCATAGTACAGGAACCGAGTGGGATCATCGAGTGAACAAGGGACAGGTCTTTTGACTGGAGATGGTGCATGTATCGAAGCAGTTCAGTTTCTGAGTGATGTTGATTAAAGACAGGATGGGTCAAAAAGGGACTTGATCTCTGCAGTGTATGCGCAGCATTCCGTTTATTAACCCTCGACAGGATTTGCGAGTCTTGTAAAGCAGCTGCGACGTCACTGTCCTTGATTCCAAGAACATTGGCCAGTTTGACGAGATTCTTGCTGCCAGTAGCTTCGTCAATCGAGAAAGCGAGCCGTGGTTTACCTGGAGTACTTCCGGGAACATTTGTTCGTACGCTCACTCCCTGTTTGGAAGCTCGAGCCAGTACCTTCTCATATGCATCGTTGTCCTGCGCTTCTAGGGTAACTGTGTCAAAGAGCACCGTGCCATCGTCGCCAACACCTTTGGTGACGACTTTAAGGGTCTTGCTGTGCTTCTCAATCAACATTTGGACAAATTTAGCCATGGCCCAGATCCGATGAGCGATGTTTTTCAAGCCCTCTGGTCCATGATAAATAGCATAGAACGCGCTCATGTTAGCAAGGAGTGCTTGAGCAGTGCAAATATTGCTGGTAGCCTTTTCTCGACGGATGTGTTGCTCCCGAGTTTGGAGGGCGAGGCGGAGAGCGCGATTGCCGAGTCGATCTTTGGAAACACCGACTAGTCGACCAGGAATTTTCCGTTTGTGTTTCTCGTTGCAAGCGAAGAATGCAGCATGCGGACCGCCAAAACCCATTGGCACACCAAATCGCTGTGCACTTCCAAAGGCGACATCGGCACCAAATTCTCCCGGTGCTTTCAAGAGAGTGAGAGCGAGCAGGTCAGTCGCGACACAGAAGGTGGAATCGGCGGAGTGTACAACGTCTGCCAGATTCTGAAAGTCGAAGACGCCTCCAGTGGTGTCAGGATATTGTGCGAGAACGCCAACCAAGTTCTTTCCCTGGCTTTTGACAAGCTGACAGTCGTTCTCCAAAATGTCACCCACCACGATCTTTATACCGAATCCTGCTGCCCTCGCCTCCAGAACTGCGATGGTTTGAGGATGGCAAAGGCTTGAGACAACAAATGTTTTACCCGGTGCCCGCAGTCGAGAGGTGGAGAGAGCATTCATGGACAGGGTCATAGCTTCAGCAGCAGCAGTGCCTTCATCGAGGACAGATGCGTTGGCGATCGCAAGGCCTGTGAGATCGGTCACAAGGGTTTGGAAATTCAACAGCGATTCCAAACGACCCTGGCTGATCTCCGCCTGATACGGGGTATAACTAGTGTACCAAGCCGGATTTTCCAGGATGTTTCTCGTGATAACCGGTGGAGTAGTTGTCCCATAGTATCCAGCGCCTATGAAATTGCGCGAGAGCGTATTCAATTTTGCCAGTTTATTCAGCTCACTTTGCACTTGTTTCTCACTGCGTCCTTTGACGTTATGTCTCCCTTGTGCATCCATGAGGCCAATAGCGCCCTTCTGTCGGATCCCCTGAGGCAGAGACTGTTGAATGAAGTCTTCAAGATCCTTGACCGGAGGATCGAGTGTCTTGAGCATCACCGTCTCGTCCTCAGGAGACGGACCGATATGGCGTCGACTGAACAGCTCATTCTGGGCCAAGAACGGCGCCCGTTCGGAAAAGGTCAAGGAATCAGGTCCATCCTGCTCATTGCGGTGTTGCACCGTAGAAATACATCTCTTGCATATCCGAGCAGTATCACCTCGTAGGATCTGCGAACGTAGGAGTCGGTTGACAGAACGGGTGGCGCGGGGTAGGACAATGGTTTGGTTGGCCATGGTGGTGGGCCTCAGGCAAGATAGTGGGCTACGACAACCACATTGAAACCGTCGACGAAGCAACGGAAGAACGACTGAGAAAAGAAGGAAAAGACCAAAGAACCAGGAGAGTCGCAGTTATTGAACGTGGACAGCGGTAACCCCAACATACCACCTATCTGTGGAAAAATAATGCATCGGAGGAAAAGCACGCGGACTAGTGACCGCACCTGGACCCAAAACTTGCAGGGGTCCAAGGCTGCGGATGGTACAAGTGGATAAAGCTTTTGATTTGCTAACCCACGTCCCGATAACATGATAGCGTTCGATGAAAGGCCAATCACAGAGATCTGAACAACGGAAGAAACCCTCGAGCATGCGACGACTCTGCTTGAAGGGTTCCGGATATGGGCGAGATCACGAAAATGATATTAATAGCGTTTGTTTCAAAGTCTTGTTTACTCAGTAGAACGCTAAAATTCGTTGTGGTGTTACATGCATAGGGATATCTAGGAAAATATTGTTACACACGCGCCATAACGGCAACCGACACGCTTGCCCGCAACCAACACCTTCTACCACAGCTGCTATCCCGATGCATTTGTTCTATCCTCAAAAGATGTTACTCAATAACGGTCGTGACCTGAAATATATATGTCAGCGTGACCAATTCTCCATGCTCAGTCGGTCGTGCTCAAACTTACGTCCAAGAGGCTTAGCTCTCTTCGAAATGTCTTTGGCTTGGTGCTGCTTGATTTTCGCCAGACGAGCCCTATCAACTATGTCAATATTCCTGTTGAAGAATTGTCTCAACGGATGGGAGATGCTTACTCTTCCTCAGCCTCGCGCTCAAGCATCTTGACACGGTCTCTTGCCTCCCTCACAGCGGCTTTTGCCTGGACAAGAGCGCGATCCGCTTCTCTCTCAGCAGTCTCGGCCTGAAGGACTCGCTCACGTGCGGAAACGATGGACGGGTCTTCGTGATTACGGTGGAACAATCCGCCAGAGCCCCGGGTCGAACCACGAGAGACTTTGGAACCATGACGACGATTATGCGAGTCGAAATCAGAGGACGAGGCGGAGGAGGAACGACGGCGGTTGAAAAAGCCTCGCCGAGGGCTGCCATCGGCCGATGAGTTTGAGTGTCTGGGTGCAGTTGTTTGAGCGGGAGTTGGCTGTGTGGTCTTGTTTCCAAAGAGAGGCATCTTGATTGGTGAGTGAGAGGTTTTGTGAGGTAGATTTGCCTAAGAATTTTAAGAGGTAATGTCCAAAGTGGTTCGATTGAAGGCGATGGCTGCTGTTTTGAGACTGTGCTATGCCTCGCATTTTAAATGCTTGTGTCCTATGCCATTCTATAGATGATGGTGTTGTCCCAGAATCAGGTTTTGAATGCCCGTGTGACGTAGGAATGTGGACGAGGCTCAGGAAAAGGGAGTGATCGTCAGCCTTTTTAGCCCTGAGCAATCCAAATGACGCCAAACGTCGGCAACTAGAGCCACCAGGGTCATAGATCGAGGTGTTGGTCTCACATTCTGGGGAAGACAGACCTGGACCCTGCACACCCTCATAGCTTCAGATAACTTGCTTCGTCGTATCAGGCGCGTCCAGACCGTGCAGTGACGACGGCACCTGCATCTTGGGAGATTTAGCGGAAGGCTAGCGCGCTGAAAAAGTCCAAGCTTATGGCGATCTGGTGATCCCGTGGCTGAAGAGGCGACTCCTTCGTCCAATCCACTAGTTGTATTAACAGGTTTTGCATTAAGAAAGTTCAGAGGGAATTGTAAAGATCGGGAGAGATATCTCGATGGTATTGAACGGGAGCACTAGTCTACACCGTCTGATAGGTTGATTCAGCCCGCATCAATCCTCCACAACTGAATCCCAAGCTCCGACGGCTGTAGCCTCGCGAGACAACATGCCTGTTTTGCAATTATCAAGAATTGAACACTCCTTCAACACTCCCAAAGAATTGGCATATTTCAGTTGGGCACAGTTGGAGACCTGGAGACCAGTCGGGTGCCAGTGACCGCGATTGTGGTGACGTCAGCATCGAGGTGGCGTCTGGTGGCGTCTGTGCTGTTTGTTCTGTTTTGAGGCTTTGGCTCAGGGTCCTAATAAGTCACGTGCCAGAGTTGTTGTGATGAGGAATCACGTGACTAGACTCAGAACAGTACTCGGGATAATTGGATACCTGGTTGTAGCACAAAAGCCAGTGATAGAAGAATCCTCTCCAGGAGAGTCTATTGCTTTTCCCTTCAACTTCCAGATCGGCCGAGTTCATCTATAGTGATAGAACAAGTTGGATTCGTGGAGCTGCCGAATGGTTGGGAGAGCAATGTTTGACATGTTTCCCTTCATCACGCCTTTGCAATCCACCCAGAGTGTATCATGAAATCGAATATGCGATTAGCTTTATTGACATCGATCTAACCCATCGGTCAGTAACAGCGCCCATGATAAGAAAGCGATCCACTTACCCTGCAGACTCCCCGAGCCTCCTTTTTCTTCATCTGCCCGCCTTGTTTCATGGCTTCCTTCAATAAGCCTTCTTTGAGTGCAAGATATGGCTTCGGTCGAATATGGAGTGTGTTGCACAATTGAATTTCTTCCTCGCTCAAGAGCTGCAGATCAGGAGCATACGCTTTATCCTCTTCCAACTTCCATGGGGTCGTCCCATTCAAAGGCTGCACCACATAGCGAACTTTAGGTTTCGGACCTGCAGAGCTGTCTGGACCGCTGGCCTCCGCAAAGAGTTTATCAAAGTCGTTCTGCACGGCGGGCTGACTGTCAGCGAACTGAGGTACCGTTTTCTGTTTGCGCTGAAACCGGAGAGGCAATTCGGGTGTGGTCAACTTGGATGCTTCTGTGGGCAGATCGGGTTGTTGGATTTGGCTGCCCTTCTTAGGTATCTGAGGCATCCTGTCAAACTGTCCCTGGGGTTGATTCCGTAGAGCACGGGCTTGTTTATCAGCTTCGTATTTCTCGCCACCTCTCAAGTCGCTAATACCCATCTGCTTCCATTCCTGTAACTGAGAAATGGCAATGCGCAAGTTGTGCTCAAGAAGGAGGTCCCTATTCAATGCCTCGAAATCTTCGTGGTTCATCATTCGGGCAAAAGGCTTGGCTCTGTGAAGCAAATCTTTCTCCTCCTTCGTTCTCTTCTTATCAATAAGCTGGTTCTTTTTGTATTCTAGTAAGTTGTGCTCGAAAATAATTCGTTTTCGGTCTGTTCTCGCTTTTAGTCTAGAGTTGTAGATGTCGAAGACTGTCATTTTCAACGTGGTCTCCTCATCCATCTGTCCTGTGACAGGGTCAAGACCATCACCAGGCTCGAAGGACATATGCTGAACTGCTTCTTCGGCGTCATTGGCAAACTCGGTCTCAAATTCTAGACGACCAGGCATAAAACCTTGCACCTCGTGACAAGCTGGTACCGAGGCAGTGGGTTTCTGCTTGGGCGTGGCAGGGGGAGCTGACTTCGCCGCTTCCTTACGTTCTTCAATGCGCCGCTTTTTGCGCGCTTGGAATTCATCCTTGGGTATACGTTCAAATAGTCGGGTGTCTGCAGGATCGGCCAGTTCAGGGAGAGGGAACCGCGAACTGTTGATATAGGTGTTGATGTAGTGGTCGCGAACTTCGTCCTTCTCTCGATACCCTCCAATATGCTCTGCTACGTCGGCCCACGAACCGAGTCCATACCTCTCAGAGCCTTCGAGCAGTAACAGTTCTTCATCGGCACCCCAGTCCTCTGTATAAATGGGGATCGAGTTCTGTTCCACCACATGGTATTCATGCGTGCGGGGATCGTGATTTTTAGAGTGCTCTCCGCGAGCAAAACAGGGTACACACAGATCGTATTCGCGACAAGCGGGATTTGCGCAGGATATGCGGACGGTGGAGGTGATATCGATAGAGCAAACATCGCAGTGGTATTTGGTGCCACCGTCGCCGCCGCGCGAGGCTGCATTTTTCCTTATGACACCCATGCTTCTCTCAATACGAGCATCTTCCTCGAGATCGGAATCAGAAGAAAGATATTGCGCGTACTCAGTAGGGATTGTCGCGTCCTCGCAGGCAGAGTCAGCCGGTGGGTCTCGAGGTCGTCGAGGCGCAGTTGGTGACGCAGAGCGCTCGGAATCGGACTCAAAGTAGTCAGCGGTATGGCGGATGGGTTTGCGAGTACTTCGGACAGGCCTTGAGCGTACTCTAGGTGTTGATAGCCGTGAGGATGGCTCTACAGGCAGGGATATCAGGTTGGTTGTTGTACGACTGACGTTCAAAGTTGGGGGCTCATATCCGCCACCAACACCACCAGCCGCAGCGCGCCAAGAGGCTATTTCCGCTTGGGTCGAGTCCACGTGACCATTGATTCGCCTTCACACGGCCAGTGACGGCTCAGTTTCAGGCCGATGTCTGCCCGGGTCTTGTTCCGCCTTTGGCTGAATAAGGGACTAAAAGCCCACTCAGCAGCCTGCGCCGCCCTCGATTCCCAGTCTCCCACCCGCTGTGACACCTTAGTTTCCAGGTAGTGTGGAGGCTTCAGTAGTCGCATCACCACCCACACTTCGCCCCGAAAGGTGAAACTCAGGCCCCGGCCGTATCGAACTGGTGTGCTGTTGTGCAACTCGGATTCACCAAACAAAACAAGTCCAGTCCTGCGATCTTCTGTTATTCATCAGCATCCATCTTTGCCTCCCCTCATCCTTGACTGCAGAACACTCACCACTTCTCAACGCTCCTTAACGACTTCACCTCGTCTTCGCCTCGGTTACCTTCAGGTGCTCGTTGTGCCACACTCGCAACCCCTCCTTTCACCGATTGTCTACAACTGAAACCTGCGCTCCTTGGAAATATTGTCGGTCAACAACACACCCTAAGGCTGTGCCTGCAGCACCATATTGATACCTCATCTTTCTATCGCCAGGCTATTCATCTGCCTCATTGAGCGGACGCTCTCAGTCCATCATCATCAGCTATCGAGGTCTTAGCGGAGGTATAACGCTCGAAGATGTCGTGGAGATTGACAAAGAGTGGGTTGATGTAACGGCACTCTGATGGAATCAAATTGACAAAGAGATAGAATTGAAGGACACTCACCTGGCCCCTCTCACAAGTGGCTTCGGTCGATCCACGTCCACCTCTACTGTCAAGCCAGAAGATGCTTCCCCTGCTACAGACTCACCAGAGTTGTCAACAACCCAGAGCAATACTAGCACCACTTCAGCAAATGGCATCGGTCAGTAAATCACTTTCAATCCCACTTGTTTGTTCTCTGCCTTCCTTACTGACACCAACTAGCTGCTTCCGAACAGCTCACTTCCCCCCCTGTCCAGACGACCAAACCTGGAATCCTGATAGTCACTTTGCATGAGGGCAAAGGATTCTCCTTGCCACAACAATACCAATCAGTATTTAACAATTATTATGGCTCGGGAACTTCGGGCTCAGTCAGACCAAGTTCGTCATATGCGTCTGGGTCTGTTGCAGGATCATATGCACCTCCGAACCGGCCAGTCTCAACTCACGCTGGAATCAATGCTGCGCCCACGATTCACGGAAGATACAGCAGCAAGTACTTGCCTTATGCTCTTCTCGACTTCGATAAGCTGCAAGTGTTTGTCGATGCCGTTTCTGGGACCCCAGAGAACCCGTTGTGGGCAGGTGACAACACCTCTTTCAAGTTCGACGTGTCAAGAGTGTGCGAGCTCAGCGTCCAGCTATACCTACGTAATCCGGCCGCCAGACCTGGGGTTGGTAGAAGTGAAGATATATTCCTTGGTGGCGCTAGGGTCACCCCGAGGTTCGAGGAAGCCCGCCAATTCGTTGCGGATCCAAAGAAGAGCAAGAAGGAAAATGAAAAGGCGGAGGCTGCGTTTTTGTCCCAGGAAAAGCAAGCCGGCCAGCTTGGGACCGAGTGGCTGGACATTCAATTTGGAACCGGCTCCATCAAGGTTGGCGTGAACTATGTCGAGAACCGACAAGGCAGCCTCAAGATTGACGACTTCGAGCTCCTGAAGGTTGTAGGAAGAGGCAGTTTCGGCAAAGTCATGCAAGTGATGAAGAAAGACACCGGGCGGATCTACGCTCTCAAGACCATCCGAAAGGCACACATCATCTCTCGGTCCGAAGTTGCGCATACTCTTGCAGAAAGATCAGTGCTTGCGCAGATCAACAACCCCTTCATCACTCCACTTAAATTCTCGTTCCAGTCCCCTGACAAGCTCTATTTCGTCCTGGCCTTTGTCAACGGAGGAGAGCTCTTCCATCACCTCCAAAAGGAACAGCGATTCGATATCAACCGCTCCAGGTTTTACACCGCAGAGCTGTTGTGTGCCTTGGAGTGTCTTCACGGTTTCAAGGTCATCTACAGAGATTTGAAGCCAGAAAATATCCTGCTGGATTATACCGGTCATATTGCCTTGTGCGACTTCGGGCTGTGCAAGCTGGATATGAAGGATGAAGACCGAACCAACACGTTCTGCGGAACCCCCGAGTATCTGGCCCCAGAACTTCTCCTTGGACACGGGTACACGAAGACGGTCGATTGGTGGACTTTGGGCGTCCTCTTATATGAGATGCTTACTGGACTCCCACCCTTCTACGATGAGAACACCAACGAAATGTACCGCAAGATTCTACAAGAACCGTTGCACTTCCCTGGTCCTGAGATCGTTCCCGCAGCGGCGAAGGACCTCCTTCAAAAGCTGCTTGACCGCAATCCTGAGCGTCGGTTGGGAGCAGGCGGAGCGGCTGAGATCAAAGCCCACCACTTCTTTGCCGGCATTGACTGGAGGAAACTGCTGCAGAGAAAATATGAACCCAGCTTCAAGCCGAATGTGGTAAGTGTGAGAACTGATGTCTATAGAAGCTGTCGCTAACATGTGTCTCAGGTTGATGCACGAGACACCGCCAACTTTGACAAGGAATTCACGTCCGAAGTGCCCAAAGATTCTTACGTCGAAGGGCCTGTGCTGTCGCAGACTATGCAACAACAATTTGCAGGATGGTCATACAACCGACCAGTCGCTGGACTTGGTGACGCAGGTGGTAGTGTTCGGGATCCCGCGTTCGATCGCATTCAATAGAGACCTCGGCGTGTTCTTGTTTCTCATGTAATGAGCAATGAAACAGTCTATGAATGAAAGCTGCATGTCGCGGACTGGTGGCAGCCGTGGCCAGGGACTTTCCTTCCAGGGATAGGAATAACAACACCTTTGTCAATGTGGCGAGTCAATCAGTATCTCGTTGCTTCGGTTTGGAGATGGACATCGGATGGGACTTTCAAAGTGCCGGGAACGCAATTCTGCTGGATCACTGAACTGCTGCACATGCTTCATTTCTTCCTGTGAGCGTTTGGGCATGGACGACCCTGAGGGCTCCAGTCTCAAACGCTATAGCTGGCCCTCACCACTTGACCTTGAGTACATAGAGAGACGGGTTGCAATAGCTGTGCTCTCCTTTCTACGGGGACTGCCAATACAATATGAGTACCGAGTACTCGGTGATATCGTGGCGAGACACCCCATTGTGAGCTTGGCTTTTGCGTCCCGCCCCGACGGCACGCACCGCTCCGACTTGGCACCGGGCGGAGTACGAGAATAGTCCTTCGAGGTTATGCTCATAGTCGCGGTATTTACTCTACAGAAGTTTGTAGCGCCTAAATCCCAAGCCCTTGTCGCTCTATGTTTATCCCCTTGGTCACAATATGTGTTGCTTGAATCTGGCGGCGACGGAGCCCCTGTCATTCGGTACTGTATTCCAGGTTCGGCATTTTTGAAAGTTCCTAGGGTGTCCGTACCCCAAGAATCCCCCTCTCCATACGTGCTTCTCTATCCTTTTTAAAATTGTTCTCAATCAGAAGGAGACGGAAGGTGGCACCAGTAAGTATGGTCCTTTCTGATACTTAGCCACCTCGACTCAGGTAATTCTTTTCGTGACCGACGCTTTCCCATCCGATCCAGGTTCTGTGCCAGACGATTGCTAGAATTACGTCAGTCTAAAACTCTGGAGCACAAATCTCGGGCAGACACGACTTCATTTGACCCAACCACTCGCTCTATAGTGTCCTCATGGCTGGGCTTGTTGTACAGACGCTCTCTGCAGTGCAACAACCACTCAGGTGTCGGCACCCCAATAGGTTGAACTGCCGCAAGTGAGTCCAGCTGGTGCATTAGCTTGCCGACATGGGGAAGAATCAGTGCCTGTTGCCGTCTACTGACAGCAAAGATATGTTGCTCACTCCGAAGTTGTTCAAAGGATTCGCTTGACGCGATTCAGGTTCAATATGAGAAAATGTAAGATTTGTATCCCATGTCACCGCTCTTTTGAACGTAGAAGGCATTTCGTCGCCAGGTCATATCCTTGTCATCGGGCATCAACGTCGACAAGTGCTACCACTACAGAATGGCTGGACGTCATCCAACATACAACGACATCAAAAATGATGCAGCAACCGTGCGGTTCTCCATGAATGAAGTTGTGTTGCTTGTGTTTGGAATGGGGGAAAAGCGATACCATCTCACCGAGGCACTGAACGGCTGTTTTGCAGTGTTTCTGATATCTCCCAAAGCCACCGTATCTGCGCACATCCCTCCGCATCCTGGCGCCAACTGGGACGACTCACAGGCGGGAAACAAGAATCTGATTGCCAAAATGAAAGAATTCGCTGCCCTGTACAGGGAAAACGAACAGTATTTTCACGGCCACAAAGTTGCCTTGATATATGCGGTACTCCATGGCAAGACCCAGTTGCCTGACAAGAAAGAATTCATTGAAAAGTGCCTTCGAGAATTCCAAGTCGATTTCCCACTTCAAGACTACGAAGTCAAATCTCCTGGTCAGAATCGTTCAGAAGAACATGGTACCGCATTCGTGGACGGCAAAGCTGTCACGGGTCCAGCCCTCTACCTCCAAGATCAATTGGTACTCAGGGTTTTCGCTTCGCGAATCGAGACCAGGGATGTCTTGACTGGGCCGGCAAAGATCAGTACACCAAAGCCGACCCCACAACAGCCTCCTGCAGGTTCTTCTATTGTTCAAGTGGTGCATTCAAATCCAATATTCCCCAGGGCTCCCACCTCCGCGGCGATTGCACCTCCCGCTACCCAGCAAGAAAGTAAACTAGAGATTGTCCCAAAAGCTACTCCGGCTCTTTCAAGCAGTTTTAACAAAATTTCGACAACGAGGAAGCAAGAAAGGGTTTTCACACATGTGAAATCGAAGTTGGACTGGAAAAGCGGGGGCAGAATTGTAGAAATAGACAGCCAAACCCTCTTGATCGGTAAAGAGGACTGGGAACAGAGTATCATCCAGGGTAACAAAGTCTGGGTAAGCAAGAAGTTTGGGCTTTCCACAGACTTCTAAGGACGTGGGAGAAGAATAACCAAACTGGCTCCAGTTGCCTCAGCCAAATACAGTGTGCCCTGTACGAGCCCCGGCGAGTGTTCAGATAGCAACCAATCGAATGCGACAATACGATCCCCCAGCCAACGGTACCTAGATGCCAAGATTTCGACGATACATCCGGAGTAAGCTCTTCATTCGTACCTAGAAACTAGTCATCCGTCTCCTTGTATCAAGATGTTAGACGGCGGAGGGCTCCTTGCGAGCGCTAGTGCTGCCGGCGATCTTGAGAAAGTCAAGTCCCTCCTCAACCAAGCATCTGACCGTGACAAACACGAAGCTCTACGGTTCGCAATCAAGGCCAACGCGCTCGTCACCGTCAACTATCTACTACACAACAACGTCAAACCCAGTGTTTTCGACTTCGAAGAGGCTGTCAAGCAGTGCTCATATCCGATCCTGGAGCTTCTCCTGTCGAGCGGCTTCAATATTAACGAACCGATCAGAGAAGATTCTCCTCCTCCTCTAGCGTCGGTATAACATTAATCCAAGCTTGCACACCCCTTCTGACCAGCTCAGTTCTGCTTTGTTTAATTCAAGTCTAGTACATTGGCTTATCGAGCACGGTGCGAATCCCAATGCTCAATGTCGATTTGACATCACACCTCTATCTATTGCAGCCCAATCCGCCTCGAAGGAGGTTATTGAGCAACTCTTTGAACTTGGTGCGTCCGTAAAATACGGACAACCTCTTCATTTTGCAGTGTATGCAAATCGTCCGGACGAGATCATCACACTTCTGCTTGAGAAGGGTGCTCCGATAAACGGAATCATGTTCGAGGACCACCAACTTTCCTACTACCACTGGAAAGAATTTGGTTTGGGGACGCCCTTGCATATAGCGGCTGAGGCTGGGAACGCCAGACTGGTGAAATTATTACAGGAACGTGGCGCGAATTTGAATATCAGAGATACGCTAGGACAGCTGCCCAGAAACTACAATGTACCTGGCTGAATCATTGATTGGTGATGGTTTACACGAGCGCGGGACGAAAAGGCTGGAGCGGGCTTCAGCTAGCTACAGCAACAGGACAGAGGTCCTTCGAAGTCCAAATCGCGGGTTCGCCAAACGCTCATGCGGATTCATGTACATGCTGGAAGACAACTCAGGTATACCCCATACGGGCAAGAAGTTGATTCATCAGGCAAGGTGACCATGTGGTTACTGCTGGTCTCTTTTGAGAACTCATTTGAGAGCCTGTGATGGACCCAATTGGTTTCCCCCACCACAGCTATGCTCCTGGGACCCCATTACAGACCCTTGTCCGTTCTCCTGGTTGGCTTACAGCCGGGAGTCTCCCGGTTTTCAGACGAGAATAAGAGTTGTCGGGGCAAAGGTTCACGAGTTGAACGGGCGCGGCGTTTGGCGAAACTCGCGCTCACCAAACTCTCCTCAGCGTGTTAACAACCGCTCCTTGGGGGATAGGTGCCCAGGGCGATGGAGAATGGCATCAGATTGGTCAAACAGGGAAGAAAGGGAAGACATTCTGCTGTAGACGAGGTTGTTGGAATACTTCATGAACCATTGCCGAATTCTGGCCACCGGTCCCATGGATAAGATTCGGTACATGCTGCTCACGACTTTCTAGAGCATTGGTCCGAGCTGTCACACTCATTAGTCTCGGAAAGTGAATAGTCTGCCATAAACGTCAGGGCCAGTCCCTACGTCGAATAAAGCCATCGAGACATATCAATAAGTATTCGCCACTCTATACTGTGGGTCAAATGAGTGTTCTGGCAAGATTAACTACTTGAGAAACCTCAGTGCCAAATCAAAGTACTGGAGATACTCGCATATACCTATGCAGAGCTAGCGATACGACTGGCCATTCTGGCCTCGGTATCCACTCCAGTCCTCATTGATACGGTTGTAATAATGTGAATATTCTATGACTGGCTGTTGGTTACAGTGTTCGCAAGTTCTATCAAGCTTACCAAGCCTTGGTGCTGGCCAGGGACTGGACTTCGAAGCGGGATGGTGCTTGGTCGATGCATACGACCGTCCTGCAGGCAGAACATTCCCGTGCCCTATCCTCCAAGGACATTGGCATTCATTCTTGCTAGAGTGGCATCCACGTGGAAGTTGTGACCTCGAATAGTTTGCTGAAGTCAAGGTAGTACCTCGTAGATGGAAGTCAGTCTTTTGAGGAAGTCGAGTCCACATTGATGAAAAGCGATTAGGAGGATTTCGGACAAGGCTGAACCCTTTTCCATGCCAATACAGCCGATAACGGAGCAAAGCCGGGACGTGTTCCCCGCATCTCACCCGTCGGCGTCGTCGGGGGGTTGGAGTAACTGGACAGCCCATTGGAATATGACCCGACCCGTGTCCTGCACCTTTGTGAGAAAACAGCATTTCCGACGCGAAACCTCGAGCATACGGGGGGAGCTTTTGGCCTATTTTCTCTGAAGCTCTAATCTGGGGTCGATCTCTTTCCCCGACCGGACTGAAGGTTGCAGTGTAGAGAGCTCCCGGGAGTAAGGGTACCAGCCAAGTGAACAAGCAGCTCTCACCATGGCCGCGAAGAACGTCCTTCGCAGAGCAGTGCTCTATGGTAACTTCTTAACCATTTCAGCTATTTGACATTTCAAAAACTCTGTATGCTCATCTGCTAACTCTTTTTCTGCACAGTCCCTGGCTCGTCACAGCGCTTCCTCGACAAATCCCGCTCCCTCACCGCCGATTGCATCGCCTACGACCTCGAAGACAGCGTGACGCCTGCAAAGAAGGCCGAGGCCCGGATCCTCGTGCGCAAGGCCCTGGACCAGGACCTGCCCACGGGCGTAAAAGAGCGGGCGGTGCGGATAAATAGCGTGGGCAGCGGACTGGCGCTCGGCGACCTGGAGGAGGTGGTCAAGTCGCCGAACCTGACGACGCTGGTCGTGCCCAAGGTCGAGAGCGCCAGCGACTTGACCTTTATCAGCGACGTGCTCGCGCACGCGCGCTCCCGGGAACACCTCCAGCAAAAAGGCCAGGTGGGCGTGCTGGCCCTGATCGAGTCGGCAAAGTCGCTGCTCAACCTGACCGAGATCTGCCGCGCCGCGCCGCACCTGCTGCAGGGCCTGGTGTTCGCGGCCGAGGACTTTGCGCTCGACATGAGCATCACGCGCTCCCCGTCGCTCACCGAGTTCCTCTACGCCCGCCAGCTCATCGCCACCGCGTCGCGCGCGTACAACCTCCCGTCCACGCTGGACCTGGTCGCGACGGCCTTCCGAGGCGAGGCCGACCAGGAGACCCTCGTCCGCGAGTGCGAGGAGGGCAAGGGCATGGGGTACAACGGGAAACAGTGCATCCACCCGTCTCAGGTGGCCACGGTCCAGGATATCTTCTCCCCGAGCGACAAGGAGGTTGAGTGGGCCGTCAGGATTATCATCGCGCAGAAGAGGGCCGAGGAGATGGGCAAAGGTGCGTGGAGTCTGGACGGCAAAATGATCGACAAGCCCGTCGAGGGTAAGGCCGAGCGTATCGTCGAGAAGGCTGTCCTGTGTGGGATGGACGTCCAGGGATTGAAGGAGAAGTGGAAGGATCAAAAGCCCGAGTGAACGCCTCATGGCGGGTAGCAAAGGAAAAAGGGATCTATGCTTTTTTCTAACTGGACAAAACACTTTTTGGGAGGCTGTTCCAGAGCCTGTCCTGGTCTTCCTCCGCTGCGACCCGTCTCGTTCTTCCTGTCCAAAGATCTATACTGCTGTACAACTGGACCACAGTTCCCCCCACGGAGCTTGATGTACCTGTCCTCGCCTGGAGGCCACTTTTGAATCGAAAACAGCGTAAGAACGCTTGTATTTCTGCAATAATTGCCATATCTTGTTGGCAGAACGTTCGGAAGCCAAGATGTCCTGCTACTCCTTCTTCGTCTGGCTCAGGTCTCCATTCTCATACCCCTTGGCCTTGAATTCCTTGGTCGTGAACGTAATTTGCTCCCTCTGATCAGTCTTTTTCTTGATTGTCAAACAGTTGATGTCCAAGACTTCGCAGATGCGATTGATCACCCGCACCGCCCATACGAAATACTGCACCATGGCGAATGCAAAGCAGCCATAGAGGTACCACCTTTCGTACTTGGCGGGGATTGGCGCAAGTCCAACCAGGGGAAGCCAGGCCATTATCGCCCCGCCGGCCAATGGAACCAGTGCGACAGTGAAGTACGGAAATGCTCGACGCGTCAAGTGGTGGAGAATGATCTTTGTGGTGAGCCGACCAAAGACAAAGGATAGCGTTAGGCAGAATATGATGAGATGCTTCTCTTGTAGGAGAATTGAGTAAGGGGATCCGCACCATGCACAAACGGAGGCGGTATAGATTATCATAGGGATCCATTCGAGGAAGACGGGCCATAGCGGAAGGTTTTGTCGTTTTCGCGCCAGGTAGACATTGTATATGCACGAAGGCAGATGGGCCACAAAGAAGGCGAAAAGGACGACGGGGACCCAAAGGTCGAGCAATACCGTCTCACCGAATAGTTCCGGATAGCCAATATAATCGACGATTCGATGTTGCCAGAATTGAGGACCAACGACGCCTGAGACCACCATGAAAAAGCATGCAAGGATCAGACCCTCGGTCGGACCGTTGAAGGCTCCGAGAAAGAGAGTATGAGTGTGGTACGTCTCCCAGGTGGAGAAGAACATGGGCAGACAAGGGACGAGTGCTGTAAAGGCGCCGATCTTGGAATGGCCCAGACCCATCGCAGCCGTCTCGAGCAGGCTGCCCAGCGTGCAGTTGAGTGAGTCGATGCCGTGATCAAACAATTCTCCAAGACCACTGGATGTGCCGGTTCGGCGGGCCTGTTTGCCGTCGATGTTGTCCATTGTTGAGTACATCCATAAGCCCAGTGCAAAACTGAAACAGAGCCAAGGTGGTGCCGGGCCCACGAGATCCGGAACAAAGATGCACAGCAACAGGATATTGACCAAGATGCAACAGAAACCCAAGAGCGTCACCATGTTGGGGGCAAGCCACATGGGAAGGAGCTTGACAGCGGCATTCCACTAGAAACCCATGAGCTGATGTGGACGTGTGACCAAGCGAGTTCAAAGACGTACGTAGTGGCGCAGGATGTGATTTGATATCCACGACTCGTCTACACTTTGGTACTTATAGGTCTTCAGGTGGGCCATGGCCTCATCTGAGAGAGGGTCCTCTGTTATAGGATCATGAGTTTTTCTGGACCGAGAACGAGCTTAGAGTGCAAAGAGTAGCTAAACGCTGAAAACCTACCCGATTCCACCATGATTCAGGTTTGTTACTTTGCGGCTCTAACCCTGAGTCCAATGAAGATATAGGAACGCGCTGAAGGACTAAAAGACAAGAGGGAGTGAGAAGGTAACTGAGAAAACAAGCGTTAGGAAAGCGGACTAGCGGTCTATCCTGATGCTCGACATGACTGTCAAATGCTCACAAGACGGAAAAGGGCCTCCAATAGAGAAATCCTCAGAACCAAACTAGCAATGGAGAAGGGAAAAGGGAGAAAGGAAATTGTTGAAGTCGGCAGAAGCGCGACCAACGTAATGCCAAGACCTGGAATTTGACGCCGCTTTACCTTCACTGTTGTTGACTGACACGTGCTGCTGCCTTGGCATTCACTTCGCAGTTGTCGCATCCCCCCGACTCCTGACTTGGATCAGCCTTCTCTCCCGGTCTCTGCGATGGTTCATCTCCGCCTGTACTCCTGGAAATCGACAAATGAACAATTGTTCATATTAAGTGGTTGGTAGACTGGCGCAAGCGTGGCCGATGATGCGTCGCGACATCATCACTTTCTCATCCTCGCCTCTCTCCTCACCATGGAGCCTCAAGGGGATCAACAGCCCGTGATCCAAGAACCATCATTCACTGTCGCGCATCAAAAGGTTGAGCTTGATGTCAATTTCAGCCAATATATCAGAGGCAGGACCGAGATCACCATCTACCCTGACTCTACGGACCTCAAAGAGATCAGCCTGCACGGCCGACAATGTACAATCAACAAGGTTCTGGTCAACGGCATCCCGCCATCCTCAGTACGGCATGAAGATCCCTGCGATCAGCTTACGCTCCATTTCCATGGCACAGTCTATCAACACCACGTTCTGGCAGAGAAGGTGGCGAGATCGGTTGGGGCGGAGCCGTTGCCGGATATCACCATTAGCCTCCCAAAGAGATTGAAGATTGTGCCAGTCACGGTCGCAGAAGTGCACACCCAGGCTGCTGGCTCCATCAAGATCACAGATCCACAATCTCAAGGTGCTTCTGCCACCGAACTCACACACGCGCTGTCAGATGCCACTGCTGCGAAATTCACCCCTCTGACGCTAATAATCGAGTTTGATTCCTGTCATGCACGAGAGACTTTGCACTTCGTTTCTGGTGGGGGTGGGAACGGTCGCTGGCCTCATGCGTATACTCGAAACAAGCTGGGCCCTGGTGGTGCCTCGCCATTGTTTCCATGCGTGGACGAAATTAATAGTCGATGCACATGGGACATTTCTATCAAATGCCCGAGGACTGTGGGCGACGCTATTGACCAAGCAGTGTCACTCGATAGTGTACAGCGCAATCTAAACAAAGCCACAAAGCCACCGTCTCGCCAAACCTACGGCACGAAAGAGATGATCGTGGTCTGCTCGGGTGAGCTCACCGATGAGATCTTAGACAAAGGAGATCCTACGACGAAGACCATGTCATTTTCCTGTTCACAGCAGCTGGCGCCGCAGCAGATCGGCTTCGCAATCGGACCTTTTGAGCAGGTCGATTTGAGTGAGCTTCGAGATGCACAAGAGGTTGCTGACATCGGCCGCAATGCCGTTGAGATGTTAGCGTATTGCTTGCCTGGACGAGCAGAGGAGACCAAAAACACCTGCTTGCCAACAACCAAGGCCATGGACTACGTCGTCCAGAAATATATATCCTGCCCCGTCAGATCCTATGCCATGTGCTTTATCGAAGATGCTCCTTCTGATGTCTCCATTTTTGCGGGTGTCACAATCTGCAGCACTCGAATCTTGTACCCGGAAGAAGTTATCGACCCTGCTCAGGAGGTTACGAGGAAATTGGTATATGCCATTGTCTCTCAGTGGATTGGTGTCAATATTGTTGCTGAGAATCCTCGAGACAATTGGGTCATCGTAGGAGGTGCCTACTTTATCACCAACCTCTTCATGCGAGAACTCTGCGGCAACAACGAATACCGAGCTTATATCAAGCAACAAGCAGATCGTGTTGTGGAGCTAGACTATGAACGACCTTCGATCTACGACTTAGGCGCCGTTACCTACGTTGACCCGAAAGAGTCCGAGTTTTTGGCAATCAAAGCCCCAGTTGTGCTGTTTATTCTGGATCGTCGCATAGCGAAGAAAGAGGGTACATCCAAAATGCCTGGTATCTTAGCGAAGCTCCTTACCAAGGCTCGAACGGGTGATCTAGAAAATAATGCACTCTCGACGGAGTTGTTCCAGAAGACTGCTGAAAGGATGGGCCACGACAAGATCGATGACTTTTTGGCCCAGTGGGTCAAAGGCGCAGGATGCCCACGGTTCTTCGCTCAGCAAAGATTCAACAAGAAAAAGCTGGTCGTCGAGATGAGCATTCGACAAGAACAGGCCTCACGCGAAACCGTGCGGGATCTGGATCCCGACAACTTCATGCGAGATGCTCGCGACGACTTCTACGGAGTGTGGCCTGCGACCGCTCAACAAGTTTTCACCGGGCCGATGACGATTCGGATTCACGAAGCGGATGGTACTCCTTACGAACATATTGTGCAGATCAAGGACGCCAATACTGTCATGGAAGTCCCATACAACACCAAATACAAGCGCCTCAAACGAAGCAAGAAGCAGAGGGCCCGCGCGAACACTAAAGTTAACACGGAACAGGGAGAAGAGGAGAATGACTCTCTCGTCTATTGTCTGGGTGACGTGCTGCAAACTGAGGAGGAGATGGCGAATTGGCGAATCAAGGAGTGGACTTCCGAACAGGAAGACAGGATGAACAGCGAATCCTATGAATGGATTCGACTGGATGCCGACTTTGAGTGGATTTGCACCATGAACCTGGCTATGCCAGGGTACATGTACGCGTCCCAACTACAACAAGACCGAGATGTTGTGGCTCAGATAGAATCGATCCGCACAATCTCACGATATCCACCGGATGCAACTACCTCCTCCATTTTCATTCGCACTCTGATGGATCGTCGATATTTCCATGGCGTGCGGACTCTGGCGGCGAAGGCCCTGGTTAGGCATGCTGCAGAAGAAGTCGACAACATAGGCTTGTTTCATTTGAGGAAGGCCTACGAAGAACTTTATTGCGCCACAGATCAAAGTTCAGCCTTGACACGGCCCAACGACTTCTCTGATCAACTCTCATACATGTTGCAGTGTGAAATAATCGAGGCTATTGCGGAGGTCCGGAACAGTCAAGGACATTCCCCGAAAGAAGTGAGAGACTTCCTGCTGGAGAAGCTAAAGTATAACGACAACTCGGCGAATGACTATTCCGACGCGTTCTATGTTGCTCGATTAATGAAAGCGCTGACTGGTGCGGCCATTGCACGACCCAGATACAGCGAGTGGGATATTGCTGAAAACTTTGAAATCGAAGACGAGATTCACGATCTGAAAGAATTTGAGCGTCAGTTCCTGGACGAGATTGACCGGTACCGCCGAATGGATGAGTGGACGAGTTCATACCAGAACCTGTACTGCCGAACTGCTCTAGAGTGTCAGGCGATGCTCGCTGCGGCGGGGATCGGCCAGTTTTCACCCTTGCATTTCTTACAGTACACCAGGCCCGGGAATTTCGATATGCTGCGGCGGACAGCTTATGACGTCCTGGTCACACCAAAGGTGTTTGACGACCCGTCCATCCTGCGCTATGTGCTGTATTGCATGGTCGCTGATCCGTCGCCTTACATCCGACAAAGCCTCCAGCGCGCATTCGGCAAGGTCCTCGGAAGACGAGCGATTGGCGAGAAAACCAGCATTGCACAACCGGCTGCTGATTCTCTGATTATCGAAGGAGCCGCAGCCGACACGGAGGAGCCTTCGAAGCGGCAAGAAGAGCTTTCCAGGCGGCAGACGCTGGGAGGAGCGGTGAAAGCGTTGAGGGAGGATCTTGGTCAAAATGAGTTTCTGAAATTGGCCCTGTGGAATGCCATCTGTTACGACCAGATCACACTCGAGGATCTACAGACTTTACTCGACTTTTGCCGCTTGTTGTACGAGCCGGTCAACGAGGTCAAAGTTTCACTGCGAATGCCTCGGTACTGGAAGGTGCAGAATCTAGGAAAGGTGAGTTTTATCTCATTGGTATTTACATTGATACTTTCGGGATACGGCACTAACGTGGCTTTTTATCATTACAGGGCAAGCTCAAGTTCTCTGAGACTCGAAAAGTTCGCAACAAGCCCGTGCTGAAGTGGCAGCCTCCACCACCTCCCACTGCGGTCTTTGCTCCTCGTCCTGAATTACCGCAATCACGACCAAGTATCGGAGGAGGAAGCGGCCTGAAGCTGAAGTTGAAGGTGGGCGGGGGCAACATCGACGGTCATTCCACAGGCCCGAATCGTCAACCTTCGATTTCTCTGTCAAATCCAACACCAACACCACCCCCGATTGCCCATCACGCTAAGCCAGCGCAGCAAAAGCAAGCTGCAAAGCCGCAGACACTTATGGGAGGAGCTGGACGTATTACTCTCAAGATTCCCAAAAGACCAGCTGAAAACGGAAGCTCCTCCCAACATTAGGCAGCTCGGCTGGAATGGTTTGAGCCTTGACAAGTCGGAGAGGCGAGTTGGAAAGAGGTTGGATGTCTTCATGGTGAGAGCGCCCGTTGGCCAAGAGTCTCCGTGGAGGGGACTGGTCACCCTTGCGTAAATCCGCATTCATAGATCGACATGTAACAATAATAACGGAGCGCTCGTTTTACTTCGAGGAGATGATCCCCAAAGAGTTCCCAGACGTAGCGGATGTTGCATTTGTGATGACTTGTTTCAGACCTCATTCCTCCATTTTTGCATGAGCTGTCCCCTTGCGCGGGCATCGCGTTGTTCATCGTCGATCGTCGCCCATGCGTTCTAACGCTTCGAGCATGACAACGGAGTTGCCACGGATGACCACCATACCTAACCTCTCGCGTTCGCCGCCGGATTTTTCTTCGACAGCTTCGTCGAGGACAATGTTCAAAAAGACCTGTATTTAAAACGCCATGCCGGCCAGGAGTGTTAGCGATCCAATCCGTTCTCTCTCTCTTCTTGTCACTGCGCGCATCGCCCTTGTCGATGTAGCTCCATTATTCGGCGCATGTGAAGCGGATGGCTGAATGTAGTTGGGAAGGGGGGATTGGGCTGTCGAGAAAAAGAAAAAGGTTGTGGATAATACATACATCGTAGCCGCGCAGGACGCCGATGACTTTGCGGTTGCCGTTCAACTGGACGAACAGGCGCTTTTCCATGTACTATTGTTGTGCGGAAGTGACACTACGTGTTAGCCACAGAGCACATTTCATCTTGCGTGGGAGAGCCAACAATTGGGAATGTCAAGCGCGGGTGGGTGGAGGGCGAGGAAGGGCGACAGAGAGAGAGAGAGAGATGGAGGGGTTTACCTTCTTGAGCTCGGGTTGCGCTTGAGGCATGGTTGCGGCGGTGGAGGATTCGAGCTGCTTGCTGACTGGACGGTTGATTTGAAGCAGAGAGGGTGTTATAAAGGTAGAGGCGCCGCAAGGGGGGAAATAGTCGTTGACGTTCGTGTTATGTCTTGTGTTGTATGTGTCTTGAGGTCCCGCGAAGATGCGCAGTTGGAGAAATCTCAAGGCCAAGATTTTTGTCGGACTAGGCTATTTCCAGACAAAGGCTGTCGCCGCCCTGGAGGGAGCTGCCTCCATCACCACCACCATGTATCTGTATGTGTTCTATATGAGGACCAAATACATGTAAACCCTTGGTATCTTGTAGCCGGTTCTGGCCTGACAATCTCACTCTATTTGCGTCGTCAGCCTTCAAACTGTGAGTCCAAGAGAGTGTTTGCATCTCTTCGAGCCCTGCACCACATGACCCCGTTTCTTTTCAATGGGGAGGCGGACCCATCAGCTCTGTCCAAGGGGTACTAGGACGCGGTATCGTGCAATGTCCTCACGGGTTGCTGCTGATCTTCATCTCCCCGGCACTCACTCAATCAGATGCATCCCGAAGATATGGAGACTATGGTGCTCTCGCCATTCTCCGCCAATGAAAATGGGCTTTGCGGACCATTCGTAAACACCACGCTTGATCATCCCAGTCTTGTCCATCACCCGCATACTGAGTGGATTGCCCTGGTTCACAATCGCCCTGACATAAACTTTCTTGTAAGGATTCCAAAATGACAGCGCTCTCTTGCAGGACTCAAACACTGCCCTCAACGACTCGGTGGCGTATCCTTTCCCCCACGCTGTCGGCAAAAACATGTACGACAATTCGACAGTCAAAGTTGTATCCGCAGCCGCAGCTGGGATGGTGAGACTCTCTGGCAAAGCAAGGTGGCCGCTGTCCACCGATTTCATGGTTATAAGACCAATGGATTCTGTCGCATCCACTCCAGGCCCGACAGTTTGTGGTTCGGTCTCCACGGAGCTGGCTGTCGGCTCAAGGATCTTGTGGACTGCATAGGCGACCCGATAGCTCTTTGGTCGTTCTGGTTCTGTATTGTTGGTGGGAAGATAACCTCCAGAGATTCTTTGCGTGTCCTCGATCGACTTCGCCCGACCATGGATGCTTTTTCCGTCCGCACACAGTCAAATCGAGAAGTAACCACATTCAGGAGCAAACAATATGGAAATTCCGGCAGAGACAAACCCGAGGACAATGAAGGGGATGCAAGAACTTACCTCCACCACGTAGTCTTCTCGTCGCTGTGCAGCTGATGCAGCCATTCGAACTCCTTGCTTCCTGCTTCGGCCTTGTCCAGCAGAATCAGTTTCAGCCGCGGTGTCAAGATAACCCCGTCCATCGTGACACTGAGTCAGAACCCTCCGCCACTTTGAAAAGATAAGAAGAGTATGTTGGTCGGTTCGAGCGTCGCTCTCGCGGCCGTTCAGCATCTAAAGTAGTGTTGTTCCTCCGTTGTACCAAAGTGGACCACACGCAACAAGGTATCATCCGAGGCGACTTTGGCGCCATTATCGGAAGGGCGCAAGGCGCGAAGCCTGTGATGGCCTCCTAACCTTGATTGGAAGTCCTTTTCAGAAGGCACTCTGGACTCTGTATAGTGTGTACACATACAGAGACACCAAAGTACGGGCACAGGTGAAGCACAATGGTGGATAATTCATGTACCTAGGACCATTGAAATATACCTATGTACGTAGGTATGTAGTGACGAATAGGAAGTGCCAGCCCGCCTGGCTGCTTATCTGCAATGGTAAAAGAGCATTGTCAGACAGAGATTATATCAATGATTCCAAGCAAAGCTCTACCCTGATCTTTCCGTCAGACACTCTTCATTACTCCAGCATCTTTTTTCCCATTCTTTCTTCCCCGCAAACTTTCAAATCTACAATCTGTATACCCTGCGTGCCTTCGTAACCCATCCAGACTAGACCTTGCGCTCCTCTTGAAGACCCTCAATTTGAGCAAAGCCTCACCACAACCTCTTCTTAATATCTCTCCCTCCATGGCATCACTTTTTACCGCGCGGCGGAAACCGAAACGCATTGCGCGGGAAGAGGCAGACAATCAACCGGATGACGGCGAAGAAGGTACGTTCAAACGTCCCAAGAGGCGAACTCTCCCACACACACACAATCAAATGTCCACTGCACGTTGTAAAAACCGTATCTGACACTTTTCTGTGGGCGATCTAGAGGTGTGTGTTGCGAGTGCGTGATTGTGATCGTTTCCCCGCTGACGGCGAGTTTTGTTAGACACGGGTCCCGTGGTAAGACGGCCGACGCACAACGCTCCGCGCACAAAATCCAAACTACGAGTCTCGTTCAACCCGGGCGAGGAGGACGGGGCAGCAACGGGGGAAGCGGCAACATCTGCCGCTACGACACCACAAAACAAATCGGCCACGAGACTGGGCCTTTCCAGCGCCGCGCAGGACATCCTCAGTCGAAGGGAGCACGAAGACCGAGATGGTGAAGGCCAGAACCACGATAGACCGAAATACAACAAGGCTTACCTCGATGAGCTGCGCAACTCGACACCCTCGACCCCACGCGACCTGTCGTCTCGGGACAGCCCGTCGCTGGACCTGGTCGAGCCGTCGACGACGACGAATCTAGCACTCGACCTCGAAAGCAAATTCGGCAAGACGGCAGTTCTGTCCTCCACGCTATCCCCCCACATCCCCAGCGCCGCCGAGATCAGAGAGAAGAAGGAGCGGCGGGCGCGCCTGGCCAAGGAGCAGCAGGCTGCGGAAAAGTCGGAAGATTTTATTTCGTTGGAGGACTACGACTCGGACGGCGAGTTCAAACCGCGCCGCATGCAAGTCTCGTCGTACCTGGCACCGCCGCGGGAGAAGGACACGCGCCTGGTCCGCGAAGACGAGGACATCGCCGAGGGATTCGACGACTTTGTCGAGGATAGCGGGCGCGTCACGCTTTCCAAGAAGGGCCTTCGCGAGCAGAGCCGCAAGGAGAAGGAAGCGATCCGGAATCTCATCAATGAAGCCGAGGGCGCGAGTCCCGACGACTCCGCCGCCGACGGGGAGGGGGCCGATTCTGCTTCCGACTCGGACTACGAACGGCGGCAAGAGTACGAGCTGGCCCAGACACACCACGGCATGGACGGGCTAGCCGCCCACGCCGACCACACACGCCGGTTAACCCGCCCGCGCCAGCCGCGCGAGACCACGCCCATCCCCAAACTCAGCGTCGGTCTGGCTCGCCTGCGCGACATGGTCTCGGCGCTGGAATACGAGCGAGCAAAGATCGCCAAACGCAAAGCCGACATCGAGCGGGAAAAGGCTGAGATCAAGCAGAGCCAGGAGCACATCCAGCGTAGCCTCGAAGAGGCCGGCCAGGAGCTCGACAGAGTCCAGAGAGAACACGCAGAGAGGGTCAACGGGACGACAGGAGGGGGTTCCAAAACACCCGTCGAGGCGGATGGCCACTTTGAATCTTCTTCAAATTCGGCGCCGGCCGAAAGAGGGTTGGAGTCTTTTGGGGATAACCGGCCCTGATCTCTACGGTACTGTTCTCCTGCCACCGCCGCTGCGGATTCTAGACACATCTCATATGGCGACTGTACCATCACTGAGAAATGGACACCTCCGGTAACCCGATCGCTGTTGATAGGGTAAAAGCAGCACGTGGGGAGAAATCCATCGTGTAATGATACGCGTAGAAATCAATGCACCGACCCACCAGTGTCAAGTCATGTTCACGTGGCTCCGTCATTATTGGTACTCAATTATTCTCATTTTTCTTCTCGTCTGCTATTTTGATTCTCAGCTCTGTCTGTCTTGCTCATTTTCGATTAAGTGGTCTTTTCTGGAGGAGTCACGCGGCTCGGATTAGAATTGCTGCAACGTGTCAGGGGAAGAGAGTGGCACAGGATGCTGTCTCTTCGGCAGACAATCGCTTTTCCATCTCGCAGACTCGTTCTCAGAGACCAAGCTCCATTTCCATTCTCCCGAACCTGCATTGCTATTCTTTGATTCCCCTCTGTCCCAGCTCGGTGCATTGCAAAAGTCGATCGTGAAATCCAAGAAGCCCAGGCTCGGGTCGCATACGTGTAACCCTTGTTGACAAGAAAGACACATGTGCAGAATCAGCCACCCCCTCCATTGCTCGTCTCCAGTACTCATTTCACGGCCCGCAATCCTCACCGCACTCGTTGCTGGTCATTTTCAACCTTGCCGACCCACATGATGTCGTCGTTCAAAGTTACATCGTCTCTCGGCCAATCGCGCGCCTTCCGACATGTGCAAACCAGGCGCTGATATTTTGGGAGCGCGAGGGAGGCGCCTCGTTCAACCTCAGCACAATGCACGAGGCGGCTGCCAGGACGAAAGCTGGTAGACAGTCGCGCACAGATCATTCCGGAACAAATCTAGAGAGCGGAGAAGACAAAGAGCTAAAGGAAGTTGTCAGTACCAACGGGACCACCTCACAAAATGGACAGTGAACTTACGTTGTTCGTCGCAGCGATCGCAATGCTGTCTTCAAACGGATGCCAGCTCATGTGCAGGATCTTTTTGTTAAAATCGATCTGGTCGGCGTCTGTTTCTTTTCTCATTCTGCTTCCTTGACCTGCTGCAGGGCTGCCTGCTCTTGAACCACCTTTCTTGGCACCGTTAGGGCTGGCCGAGTTAATGGGAGTCGGCACTCCAACTTTCTTAGCCTTGAAGGCCGACTTGTCTGCCTGCAGGACCACTTCCGTCTCTTGTTCAGGATCTGAGGGATAGATCATGAAGTTGTTGTTGTAGCTCCCAGTCATGACGTTGCTCCCGTCACCACTGAAGACCACTTCGAACTTGTCGAAGATACTATCGTTTTCATACGTGTCGCACAAACGAGGCCTCAAATGCTCATGGATGGGGATAGTCTTGACGGGTTGTCTCTCCATGTTTACGTCCCAAATCTTGACCGTCAAATAATCTCTTGATAGAATGTACCTACCATCATGTGAGAAGCGGACATCGGAAATGGAGGAGATGATTTCGGAAAAGAAGGATCGCGAGGAAGGGTCTTCTTCTTGCTCGAACTCTGCCAGAATGTTAGTTGGTGCAAGGGGCCGGGGAGGGGATATTCACGTTTAGCATGATGATCGCACAGTGCGCTCTCACGCATATCGGCCAGTTTGATTGTACCCTTTGAGCTTGCGTACATGAACCAATTGCAGCTATGTGGGTGGAACTCGGCAGCAGTGATGACTTCAGTGAGCTCCTCCATATTTGCTGGCTTGATATCAACGATGTTGAAACTCTGGTCTTGGATGTTCAGGTTCCACAAGTTGATGCGCAGATCATCACTGCTGATGAAGGTCTCGCCGTCGCTGTTGACAGAGATGCTATTGATGTGATAAGCGTGTGCATTCGCGTACGTGCGTCGAGGAACTGCGGCTACGACGGTATCATGGTGAGTCATTCGAGGAAGCTTCAGCTGAGAGGCATCCTTGAAGTGGATGTGGTTAGGACGAGGTGCCCCTCCACCACCAGCACCGGCTGGGGTGAGGTCTTGGGAGAGGTTGTTCTCGGCAACGACTTTGAGGGACTTCTCAAAAACTTTCCAGAGTTTGATGGTCTTATCGTTTGTAGAAAGAAGATAGTGAGACGCATTCTGTCGTCGGCACCATTTGATCTTGTTGATCTTTTCTTCTATCTCGAGGGATTTGAGATAATCAAACTCTGGTTCGTGGGATTGGAATTCTGTATGGAACTTGTACTCGCATGTCTTTTTCTGTAGGGAAAAAATGTCAGTAGTGTGGACAGTGAACGGGCAATGAAGTTTCACTAACAGTCTCATTTCGTTCAAAAAGGACAACGCGACCACCTTTGTCTCCGGTTGCAAGATAGTTCCCAGTGTGGTCGAATTCGACGGTGGAAATGATATCTGCTTCTGTTATGTCTTCGACATCTCCTTTATCGCCAAAACATTGGGTGAACTTCCATGTGGGAGTTCCGGGTTCTGTTTCGACCATTTTTCATCACAGGGTGCGCTGCAGGTCCAGGAATGTCCAGCAGCACGCACACAGCAGTAGCACCCTAGATCGACGCAAGATTTTACCGCTGGCGGTGCATGGAGCAGTCGCGCTCGATTTCAGGGGGTGGTCAAATTCGTGAAAGGGCGCAGGCGCGGTGTCGAGCGCAGAGCGTCTGTGTAAAGTGAAGTGACGTGACAAGGTTGGGCTGGGGTTGAGATGGCTTGGGTTTGGGACAGTTTTGTAAGCGATGCGGCTCAGGCAACAAAGCGGTGATGATTCGAGTAACAGGACGACAGGAATGAGACGGAGGATGCCTCGTGACGGACGGACAAGGGAGATGCAGAAAAGAATGAAGGATATCGGATGTCAGCAGGGGATGGTTACGACTGCGGTTGTATGTCAGTTCAGTCCTGATCGTGGGGGAGTGAAGGGCAGTGATGCAGTTGCGAGGATCCAAAGCAAGGTTACAGGTACCAAGACAGCAGGTTAGCCGCGTGAGGGCGGATAGGCTGGCACCGGGGGGCCAACTGGGCAGCTACAAAGAGGCGGCGAGGCGCGGCTTGGTCATGATGATGACGATGATGTCGAGGGGCACCTGGGAAAAGTAGCCAGAAGTGCCTGGACTTCCCTGGAGGTGCCCGAGGGGCGCCTTCTTAACTACTGAACCCGGCACCCCGGGTGCCCAAGGCCCCTCGCTACTCGGTACTCGACAGTCCAAGCTAGTACTACGGGGTACTGGGCAAAGCACCACATGCACCCGGCCGTACTTCCTCCGGCGATAATTGCTCCTTCAGCCTCGCGAACCTCGGATCGATCATTATCGTCTCGATTCCATCCCCTGGTCCGGCTTCCCTACACATACATAGCTCCCCGATGTCCTTGATACACGGTCAAAAGTTCGTCTGGTGTTGCAAATTTGGTGTTCTTGTCGCCTTTTCAGCATATTTCCGCCCATCTGGGTATTGATCACCATGCGAATTCGCCTACAGGGAGCCGGAAAGGGACTGGCAAAGCTTGGCAGTCGAGCACGTCAACCGACAGAGAGACTCAAGAATATACTACCAGGACGGGCGCCGATAGGAACAGGGGCATTATCTGCACCCGAGGTCAGGGCCAGGAATTCGCGATTGAAAAGCCTGGTCAATGACTTGGAAGAATCTTCGAGGCCAGATACCAACAATGGAGCTGGGGCGGGTCTAGATGAGGTGTTTGACGACGTCGGAGCTTCGAGACAGGAATCCCCGCCATCTAAGACCTGGTCCAGAGGTGGAAAGCTCAGGGAGGGCATTCTGGTGGACAATGGCATTCCTCTCGTCTCTCCGATCCTTGCCCGCGACGCTTGCAAGTGCTCGGAATGTGTCGACCCTTCCGACCGACAACGCAATTTCTCCTACGCACACATACCTACCGATATTGGTTTCAGCAGAGTAACTCCCGTCGAGAGTTCGGGGGACACCATTGTCAGCTGGCGCAATGACGCTCCCCCTCACTCCGCAGGTACATCGACAATCTTTGACAAGGAGACCATCTCGTCCCTGAGGAAGCCGTTCCGCAACCCGCGCTGGCATCTGTACAGCCTGGCGCAGAAACTGTGGGACGCTGAGTCGTTCACGCGTGATTCCAACCGATTCGACTTCAACGAGTATATGAGTAGTGACGACGCCTTGGCCGAGGCTCTCCACCTGTTGTGGCGGGATGGCCTTGTGTTTATCGACGGGGTGCCCGAGTCAGAGGGTTCTGTTTCGCAGCTGGTGACCCGTATCGGACCGCTCATGAACACCTTCTACGGTCCGACATGGGACGTCCGTTCGGTGCCCAATCCCAAAAACGTCGCCTACACAGCCAAATACCTCGGGTTTCACATGGACTTGTTGTATATGCGGGAGCCTCCGGCGTTCCAGTTCCTGCACTGCATCCACAACGAGAGTGTCGGGGGCGAGTCCCGGTTCGCCGACACGTTCAAGGCTGTCGACGAGCTATACTCGCAAGACCCGGCCAAGGTCCGCGACCTGATGACCTACCCGGTGCGGTACGAGTACGACAACGACGGCTACTTCTACTCGGACCAGAAGCCCACGATCCTCAAGCGACAGGAACTGAACGTGCCCAACCGTCCAACCCACAATGCCCAACACCCGTACGTCATGTCCGACATCGGCCGTGTCTACTGGTCGCCGCCGTTCGTGGGCAACATCCACCCGAAGCTGGAGCACCACGAGCTCGTGCGCTTCGTCGCCGCGAGCAACGCCTTTGCCTCGATCCTCGAGCGGCCCGACATGGTCATCGAGGAGAAGATGGACAGCGGCACCTGCGTCATCTTTGACAACCTCCGCGTCGTACACGCCCGCAATGCCTTCGACCTCAACTCGGGCCGCCGCTGGCTGAGGGGCGCGTACCTCGCCCGCCAGGATTTTGTGAGCAAGGCCTCGTCCATGGTCGACCGGATGCCCGCCAACATTAGGTTTTATACGCTCGACGGCGACCAGTCGTGAGGCAAATGCAATGCACCTGATGATCGTCATATCTGATTTTCACGCCGCTGCCGCCGCCTCAACACGTGTGGCCGTTCTCGAAATCCCCCGGAAAATAGGCGACCGTCTGTTTCACGACCACAAATTCAAGCCCCGCCCCCTTACAGTCTTACAAGACGAAGCCATTTCTCTCTCCCCTTTGTGGTGCGACATGTGCCTTTCCCTATCGCCAGTCTGACAAGGAAGCTCTCGGAGGAACGCCATGCCACGCTGGTCACCAAGAAACCACATTCCGACGAGCAGAGGAAGGAGGAGGGAGGAGGGGACCAAATGTTCTGTACTTGTAACCATCCGTCGTTCATACGCAGACAGACTGCCACACTCCCTCTAATTATTTTCGTCGACCTCTCTCCGTGTCGCCATATCGCCATATCAGACAGATTTCGTTTCTTAGTCCCATTGGTTGCATGGGACTACATGGGACTACATATCGATGCCATGGTATGACTACCTGGATACCCCTACCTGAGAGTGTACATTCTTGGACAGAGAACAAAGACAATGGTCAGGCAGAGGTTTAGAGGTCAAAAGGTCAAAGATCAACCAAGTACGACGCATGAGAGTATACTTCGAGATAGTTAAAGATAAAAAAAAAAGAAACATTCATGACAAACTGCCCCGGACTGTGTAGCCTCTGCAGACAGTGTAGATAGACAAGATCTGAAAGGAAATTGATATGTACGAGGTATCTATCGTACGGAAAAGACTCTTGTTGGGCATTTCTTTTCCAGCCTTTGCGCTATGAACCAGGTAGAACAGCAACTACCTAAAAAAAAAACACGCACAGCGAGGACCCTAGTCTTCCATCCATACCCTCCTATACACATTGAACAGAGACATTTGTTTTTTTTTTTTGGTGGAGGTTTTTCAAATGTCACATTTCTTCATTCTTCTCATTTGTATTGACGACACCAACACTCATTAATGACTCGCCCACAGTGTCCAGCTGTTTCGATCAGGGTCCGCTCAGTGAGAGCTCCGTCAATAGCTGCCCACTCTACGCGGTGGTTGTTGCGCTATAAGGCTTGAAGAAGTCCGGGTCGGCTTCTAGCTCTTCACGGACCTATACACACATTATCAAATCAGCACTATTCAAACCAGGAGGACAGAAGGTAAACATACAATATCAAGCCCACCGACAAGCTCCCCGTTCGTATACAATTGCGGAAAAGTAGGCCAGTCGGAAAACACTTTGAGGCCCTCGCGCACATCATTGTCGGCGAGGATGTTGAAAAATCTATTTTCACACACAACGTTTAGCGCATGTCCGGGATTCCCAAAGTCGAGGCGTCAAGGGGGAGTGGTGACTGCAGCGTACCCATATTTCACTTGGTTCTCGCGCAGAATGCTGACGAGCTGTCGACTAAACCCGCATTGCGGCGCACTGGGGGTTCCTTTCATGAAGAGCATAACCGGCCTGGGACGTCGTCACTGTCAGCAGAGCTGTTCTCTTGGGCAACCGACGCTTTCGATGTGCGCAGAAAGTCGACCGTATCCTTTGTACCAATCCGTAGGATGAGAACTTACGCAGCCTTGACCAACTTCGCCAACCGCTCATTCAACTCCTCTGTAGCCTCGGCCCCCGACGCGGCCTGCGAATCTGAAGGCTTGGATGCATAAGAGCCCGAGTCCTTTGTCGACGTGGGCTGCTCTGAACTTCCGTTCGTATGCGCATGGCTCTGCGGCTCCGCCTTCAGCGGCGGAGGCACCGACGCACTGCCGTTACCGTTGACATTCGCGGCATTGGAGCCAGTGCCGGCGTGCCTCTCCACCGCGGCTCTCAGCTTGCCCGCGTCACTCCCACTCACCGTCTCCAACGTCTTCCCATCTCGCTGAAGGACCAGGTACGGCACCGCGGTCACATCGTATTCTTCGGAGACATCGGGCAGTTCTTCGGCATTTATGGAGAGGAAGGAAAGATCGGCGGCGCGGGATGAAGGGTAGGTCGAGGCCAGGGCGGAGAGGATGGCGTTTGTCTGTGCGCAGGGCGCCGCCCAGGGAGTGTGGAAATAAATTACGTGCAGGTGTGAAGGAGGGGCAGCCGATGTGTGTTGCTTGAAGGCCTCTTCCGAGGGGACCTCTTGGAGGTTCAGGGTCGCCATGATTCAAATTGCGGAGTTAGACTTTTTCTACAAGGAAGATGCAGATATCGTGAAGAGATCAGAAACAAAACGAAGCAGGGTAACGCTGCCCGGCGACGGTAAATGGGCTTGCGACAAATCTTCAGGGTTGAGTAATTGTAAAAACTGCGTGATGGTCTTGTGTATTTTACTGTATCGATGACGCCACATCGGGGCGTGATCGGCCAAGCCAGCCTTGCACACCCTGTCCCACCCCGCCCACCGTGCCACCCAGCCAACCTAGGTGCCACGGTGCCTAGATATCCAGACGCGAACCACAATGGTAATGCAGGGAATGGTACTATTAGGGCAGGTATTCTGCCGTCTGTGGGTAAGAGATAGATTA